GAGACCTCCTTTTTGTAGGTAAGGGAAGGAGATCCTGACTATCCCCGTTGCCTTTCAAAATTTTCAAAAGAGGGAAGCAAGCATACCCTATACGTTCAAGAAGAGAGGGTGGGACTCCTCCAACCTTGTGAGACAGACGAGGGCCTTTGCAGTCAAGCCCCTCCAACTTCGGGAGAGAGAAGAGCGCTTCGTCTACCCCTCAGTCGGCCAGAAGAGGCCTCCTTTCTCTCTTGGCAAGGGAAATTAAGAGCTCCTGAGTATCTCCTCTTCCTCGTTCCAAGCAGAAAAGCCCGCTGAATCCAATGGTACAGAAGAGAGCTCGGTTTCGAAATAAGATAGACCGGCACTTCCAAGTTATTGGGTTCTCTACCTAATCTTCCAAAACAGGAAGAAAGCTCCCTCCAATTTCGCAAGACAGAAGAGGGCTGCTCCTGTACCCTTTGATGGAGGAAGAGATCCCCTGACAGGTCTTCTACCCCAACAACTCAGAAGAGAGGCTCCTCCAATTTCTCGAGAAAGGAGAGAGGTGTGTTTGCCTCTCTGTCGACAGTCGACAAGAAGACTCCTTTCTCTCTTAGTCAGGGGCGAGAACTCCTGACCATCTCCCCCCTCCTCTTCAAAACACGGAAGAGAGCTTCCGATCAGAAGAGAGCTCTCAAAAATGACGGACGGGCCCCTCCAAGTTACCGAGAAAGAAAAGAGCTCCGCTTGCTTGTGTGGTTTTACGGTCGCGGCGCCCTGTATTTTTGATTCGTGCTGCCCTTTTAAAGATATTGTAGTTTCCTCAGTCATCAAGAGGAGGCCAACTTTCTCTCTAGGTAAGGGAAGGAGATCCTGCCTGTCCAACTTGACCTCTTCCGAAAATGGAAGAGAGCGTACGCTCAAGAGAAAGGGTGGGGCTCCCCCAACCTTCAAACAAAGAAGTCTGGTCCTCTCCTCAACCTTCCACAAGAAAGAGAACTCCTCCACCTCATGCTCTAGAACAACAAGAGAGCTCCCCTGCAAGTTATTCGTGCTAAGAGCGGCGAGCTCCATTACTTACCTCTTGGTAAGTCTTAGTCTTGAGAACAGTGAAGAGACCTCACTCCTAGCAAGAGAGGACAGAGCTACCCCCCCACTCCCTCTCTTCTACAAGACAAAGGAAGAGAGCTTACGATCAAGAAGAAAGGATGGAGTTCTTCCAAACTTCCAACCTTGACGAGAGACGTCTGGACCTCCCTTCGTCCGGCCTTAGATGAGAAGCCCTCTACCTCATCCTCTGAAACAAGAAAAGAACTCACTCCAAGTTACCCCTGGTAAGAGAAGACAGCTTCTTTCTAGAAGAGAGCTCCGTTACCTCTCGGTAGAGGAAGAGACCCCGTGGCAAGAGAGGGCACAGCTCCCCTGCCTTCTCGAAAAGCCTTCTACCTCATCTTCGACAAGAGGGGACTGAAAGCTTCATCCAATCTAATGAGAAAGAAGAGAGCTCCATTTCCATAAACAGACAGACAGGTCCCTACGAGTTATCGAGCAAGAAGAGAGCTCCGTTAACCCATCAGCAGAGACCTCCTTCTTTCTAGGCAAGGGAAGGAAGTCCTGACTATCCCCGTTACCTTGCAACAGAGGGAAGCGAGCATACGTTATACGTTCAAGAAGAGAGGGTGGGACTCCTCCAACCTTGTGAGACAGACGAGGGCTTTATTGCAAAATAGCAGTCAAGCCCCTCCAACTTCGTGAGAGAGAAGAGCGCTCCGTCTACCCCTCAGTCGGCCAGAAGAAGCCTCCTTTCTCTCTTGGCAAGGGAAATTCAGAGAGCTCCTGAGTATCCCCTCTTCCTCGTTCCAAACAGAAAAGCTCGCTGAATCCAATGATACAGAAGAGAGCGATAGACCGGCACTTCCAAGTTATTGGGTTATTGGGTTCTCTACCTAATCGTCCAAAACAGGAAGAAAGCTCCCTCCAATTTCGCAAGACAGAAGAGGGCTGCTCCTGTACCCTTTGATGGAGGAAGAGATCCCCTGACAGGTCTTCTACCCCAACAACTCAGAAGAGAGGCTCCTCCAATTTCTCGAGAAAGAAGAGAGGTGTGTTTACATCTCTGTCGAGAGTCGACAAGAAGACTCCTTTCTCTCTTAGTCAGGGGCGAGAACTCCTGACCATCTCCCCCCTTCTCTTCAAAACATGGAAGAGAGCTTCCGATCAGAAGAGAGCTCTGAAAAATGACAGACGGGCCCCTCCAAGTTATCGAGAAAGAAAAGAGCTCCGCTTGCTTGTGTGGTTTTACGGTCGCGTCGCCCTGTATTTCTGATTCGTGCTGCCCTTTTAAAGATATTGTAGTTTCCTCAGTCATCAAGAGGAGGCCAACTTTCTCTCTAGGTAAGGGAAGGAGATCCTGCCTGAACTTGACCTCTTCAGAAAATGGAGAGAGCATACGCTCAAGAGAAAGGGTGGGTCTCCCCCAACCTTCAAACAAAGAAGTCTGGTCTTCTCTCCAACCTTCCACAAGAAAGAGAACTCCTCCACCTCATGCTCTCAAGCAACAAGAGGGCTCCCCTGCAAGTTATTCGTAGTAAGAGCGGCGAGCTCCATTACCTCTTGGTAAGTCGCTTCTTAGTCTTGAGAACAGTGCAGAGACTTCACTCCTAGCAAGAGAGGACAGAGCTCTCTTCTACAAGACAAGGGAAGAGAGCTTACGATCAAGAAGAAAGAATGGAGCTCTTCCAAACTTCCAACCTTGACGAGAGACGTCTGGTCCTCCCTTCGCCCGGCCTTCAAACAGGAGATGAGAAGCCCTCTACCTCATCCTCAGTAGAGGAAGAGACCCCCTGGCAAGAGAGGGGAGCTCCCCTGGCTTCTCGAAAAGCCTTCTACCTCATCTTCGACAAGAGGGGACTGAAAGCTTCATCCAATCTAATGAGAAAGAAGAAAGCTCCATTCCATAAACCGACAGACAGGTCCCTACGAGTTATCGAGCAAGAAGGGGGCTCCGTTAACCCATCAGCCGAGACCTCCTTCTTTCTAGGTAAGGGAAGGAGACCCTGACTACCCCCATTACCTTGCAAAAGAGGGAAGCAAGCATACCCTATACGTTCAAGAAGAGAGGGTGGGACTCCTCCAACCTTGTGAGACAGACGAGGGCTTTATTGCAAAATAGCAGTCAAGCCCCTCCAACTTCGTGAGAGAGAAGAGCGCTCCGTCTACCCCTCAGTCGGCCAGAAGAAGCCTCCTTTCTCTCTTGGCCAGGGAAATTAAGAAAGCTCCTGAGTATCTCCTCTTCCTCGTTCCAAACAGAAAAGCCCGCTGCCTCAGCCTCGACAAGAGGAGACTGAGAGCTTCATACAATCCAATGATACAGAAGAGAGCTCGATTTCGAAATAAGATAGACCGGCACTTCCAGGTTATTGAGTTCTCTACCTAATCGTGCAAAGCAGGAAGAAAGCTCCCTCCAATTTCGCAAGACAGAAGAGGGCTGCTCGTGTACCCTTTGATGGAGGAAGAGATCCCCTGACAGGTCTTCTACCCCAACAATTCAGAAGAGAGGCTCCTCCAATTTCTCGAGAAAGAAGAGAGGTGTGTTTACTTCGCTGTCGACAGTCGACAAGAAGACTCCTTTCTCTCTTAGTCAGGGGCGAGAACTCCTGACCATCTCCCCCCTCCTCTTCAAAACATGGAACAGAGCTTCCGATCAGAAGAGAGCTCCATCTCAAAAATGACAGACGGGCCCCTCCAAGTTATCGAGAAAGAAAAGAGCTCTGCTTGCTTGTGGGGTTTTACGGTCGCGTCGCCCTGTATTTTTGATTCGTGCTGCCCTTTTACAGATATTGTAGTTTCCCCAGTCATCAAGAGGAGGCCAACTTTCTCTCTAGGTAAGGGAAAGAGATCCTGCCTATCCAAAACTTCACCCCTTCAGAAAATGGAAGAGAGCATACGCTCAAGAAAAAGGGTGGGGCTCCCCCAACCTTCAAACAAAGAAGTCTGGTCCTCTCCTCAACCTTCCACAAGAAAGAGAACTCCTCCACCTCATGCTCTAGAACAACAAGAGGGCTCCCCTGCAAGTTGTTCGTGGTGAGAGAAGCGAGCTCCATTACTTACCTCTTGGTAAGTCTTAGTCTTGAGAACAGTGAAGAGACCTCACTCCTAGCAAGAGAGGACAGAGCTACCCCCCCACTACCTCTCTTCTACAAGACAAAGGAAGAGAGCTTACGATCAAGAAGAAAGGATGGAGTTCTTCCAAACTTCGAACCTTGACGAGAGACGTCTGGTCCTCCCTTCGTTCGGCCTTCAAACAGGATATGAGAAGCCCTCTACCTCATCCTCTGAAACAAGAAGAGAACTCACTCCAAGTTACTCCTGGTAAGAGAAGACAGCTTCTTTCTAGAAGAGAGCTCCGTTACCTCTCGGTAGAGGAAGAGACCCCGTGGCAAGAGAGGGCACAGCTCCCCTGGCTTCTCGAAAAGCCTTCTACCTTATCTTCGACAAGAGGGGGCTGAAAGCTTCATCCAATCTAATGAGACAGAAGAAAGCTCCATTTCCATAAACCGACAGACAGGTCCCTACGAGTTATCGAGCAAGAAGAGAGCTCTGTTAAACCATGAGCATAGACCTCCTTCTTTCTAGGTAGGGGAAGGAGATCCTGTCTATCCGCGTTACCTTTCAAAAGGGGGAATCGAGCATACGTTCAAGAAGAGAGGGTGGGACTCCTCCAACCTAGTCAGACAGGCGAGGGCCCTGTTTCAAAATAGCAGTCAGTGCTTGCGGTGTCTCCGAAGTTGTTGCACGTGCCATGCTCATCGACCCTCCAGTGGTGCTGTCCCATAAGGCAGCTGTCGATAAAAAACATAATGTTGCAGTGTATAGACGATTTATTTGTAGTATTTACACAAAGAACGAGCGACACATTATACATAAAGGTTCCTGCCTCATATATATATATATATATATATGTATACACATGCGTACGAACATAATGTATGTATGCATGCATACATGTATGTGCAAGTTGTAATCTGCCGCCCGAACAGGACTGGGTCACCAATGCCATGATCGGTCCGGATCTCATGGGATGATGCGAGCGTTCCGTTGGAGCCTGCCTGCGGCATGTTCAACAGCCTGATCCACTGCAGCTTGAAGCCGCGGCATACTCCAAGCCTACTTAGCTTTCCGCGATATTCGATGGAGTGGAGCTTCGCAGTTTTGCAGCGAAGTCTGAACTAGAACGGCTCGACGGAGGCATTGTGACTCTGGTGGAGTTCTTCGCGGCAGAAGATGCCGCCCGGTAATGTGATGGCTTCAGCGGCTAGGGAGTGCTATAGCAGCTGTATATGCAGGCACACTCGCGAAGTTCTTATCTCCCACTTCAAAGATGGCAAACTTACTATTGCTAATGCAGGGACGTTCCGGAGCACAATGAGGTGGGTCAAGTACGACAACAAGGGTGTATCTGAATAATGCTATCATCTTGCAAGTTTCGAGCTTCATGACAATTCTCGTGTGCTTGCGTCCATGCTGCCGAGCATGCATGCAATGACGGCTCCATCGACTCTGCGTCCTTTGCTTTTGCTTGGCGTAGCTCTGGTTGCCCCCCCCTTTCTCAAGTTTTGAGATGTGAGCGGTGCCGTGGAAGATGCGAAGCAAGGAGAGCATCGAGGACGACCAGGCCCGGCAGCTGGTGAACGATGCGATGAACACCCAGGGGAGTCTCGGCCTCGTCAGCTTTTCCGGAAGTGTCTCATGCACTGTGATACTGTAGTTAGAGCGACTGGGAGCGAGAGAGAGGGAGCGCGAACATCGGAAACTTGCAAAGGAGAGAGACGATTCTGCTGAAGCTGCTGGTGATCCCCTGCGATGACTTGAATCTTGGCCCGCACTTTGTTAGTCAGAGTAATGAAGCTGGGAGAGTTGCGCACCGCAATTGTTGGAGTTCCAAAGCTGGAAGTTCATCTGCCGAAGCACTGCACAACCTGTGCCCAGATGCATAGACCCAACAAAGCATCTTCAAGGCTCCGTGCCCTGCAGATGAGCCTCTAAGCTTTTTTGGCGCAGACGTGCACATGGCTAACAGACGGAGATGTACGGGTGCACAGTTCAGAGTTGAAACATTCTTGAGGTGTTGCATCATGGCACTAGCGACTCCAAAGAAGTCTGAGATGATCCATTGTAGTACCAGATCTCAGCTCGTCCATTGGCTTGCCGGATACCTGACCCACATCTACAGACAGTGCCGGTGTTGCCGATGCAATAGCTGCAATTTGAAACGTGAAGCCGTGTGAAGGTGTGCAAATCTCAGCCGTGTCTTGTATCAGGCGTGCAATGTCATCTTGTCGGCATTTTTGCAGGAACACGTGCATGATCCTGCGTGACGCAGGAAGTTGATCGTCATGCGCTGCTTGAGCAAGGTGCCCCTCAGCGGCTTGGCCATATACTGTTGAAAGCTGAGCGCATAAAAAGCACTGATACCGGATACCTTCTTCGATACATGCAGCACTACTGGTGTAAGGCTTTTGTAAAAGCACCTTCGTTCCTAACAGCTTGCTCCGGCAAGGTCTATATGGTAATCTGGTAATAGAGCATCCGTGGTCATCCCTGTGCGAGGTCAGATCGAGCCCGATGAGATGGGTGCTATCGTGAAGTGCCTCTCCGACGTCAAAAACATCGGGGAAGGGCGCACTGAGGAAATGCAGCTTGCCCTTACAACTTATGCCAATACAGTAATCACTTCCCGGCGGAACTGGAGCTCAGGGTGAGTTTCTCCATCCATCGTCGAGACAGGAATCCTTCTGCCTGTGCTGCAATACTTATGTGTTTGAGGGGACATACCAGCGGTTCAGGTTCCAGGTTCAGTTCCAGTAGACTTCTGTGGGCCTTAGCTGCTTTTGGCGATCGACGGTTGCCGATGTGACCAGGCTCTGCAGCGTTGGAGCGCCTTTGCATGCCTTCGAACTTTCTTGTGACTGGCGATTAAGAGCGATATACTGTGTGTGAGCTTGGGGCGGCTTTCCGTTTCAAGTTCTTTTTCCGAATCGCCTTTCGCCGCGAGTGAAGTTCTGAAGGCTAGCATTGGTGGTGCGTCAGCTTGAGCGACTGCTGTTGGCTCCGGGCGACACCGGTACCCGGGCAGCAATGGCAACGGGCAGAGGGCGCAGATGGCAGCAAGCAGAGCAAGGCAAGGCGACCTTGGCCGGGTAGCATGCAGCATGGTGACCACTGGTCAACCCCCTTCGAAGCTGCTCTCTTGTCATCGCACCAGTCGCGGGCCCTGAACCAAGTGCTTCTATCTACCTGACACCATTCCAGCGCAGTTGCACAAGGCCTTGGCTTCCGACAGGGCTTCGCCGAACGAGCCGTGGCCGAGTGCAGTGACGCTGAATCTGAATTTAAGTAGGTTTCCGGGCCGTGTCTCAATTCGGGAGGTTGCATTTCCAGCCATCTAGCCAATGGTTTATTGAAGATAAGACAGATACAGGATATTGAAGAGGAGCCGAGCAGACAACTGCTAACTACCGCGCAGGCTGGGCTATTTAGGCATCTGGAATCCACCTACTCGTAGGAAAGATCAAGCACAACATGTTCTCAGGTTTACTTGCAGACCCCCGCTTGTTGATCTTTCAGTGCATCCGTCCGCCTATCTGCGATCCGACTAGCTGCAGGTGTACACTTGTCTTGACATCTTCTGGGCTACTGGACAATCCGTGGAATCTCTGTGTTTCTCTTCATGTGTGGGTCTAGTGGTGCGTGCAACAACAGGGAGCAGCAAATCGTATACACCTCCATGGAGTTCCGGGAAACAGGAGATCCTGATGGCAAACTCAGCGCGCTCGACGGATCGCGAGCTCGGCGCCTGGCTGGGGCTGGGGCCCACTTTGAGCTTTCACCTACACGTTGACGGACATACGGCTTGGATGCAGATGGAGCTCTTGGGCTGTGGAGTGTCGCCCTACCAGAACCAGAGCGAGCTTCACCAGAGAGAGAGTTCTGGGTTGTTACAAGCCTCCACTTTGCTGTCGTGTACATCGGCGCCTTCCGTCGTTTTTAAGAAATCAGCATCTCGGCGGGGCTTCCGAGGTCAGACGAGTTGGAGAAGCTCGCGCTTTCCTCCGCCATCGCCGTAGCCTCAGACACCCCGCTACACTGCGTTTTGGTTTCCTCAATCCTCACTCACTTCTAGACTTGTTGCAGCCTGAAGCAGAGGCAGCCTCATTGGGCGTCCAGTCCAGTTTGCGGTGAGGTCGACTTCTACTTCAGCTGCAGTGCCATTTCATCCCTCCGAAGCTGCTTGAGGCCATGACCACGAAGCTACCAAGCCATGTCTCATGCGGGGCAGCTTTTGTCAATGTGTGGGAGGGCGAAGGCTGCCGAGTCGAGAAGCCTGAAGGACATGCAAGCGGGCAAGTGCCCCTCCGCCAGGAATCCCACTATCGACGCTATGTTCCCTCGTATCATGAAGTTCGAAGAGGACTCGGAGAGAAGCTTCAAGCTGCGTTCGTGACACGGTTGTCTGGGATGACCAAAGGATGTGCTCAGCATTCGAGGGACAGGGTTCCCGGATTGGCTTAGAAGCTGCCGCAGCGCTTGCCACTTACCACCTCATTGCCGGGAGATGCCGGCACGGCATTCCTGTTTCAGGAGCTGCACAGTCCCCTGGCTGCCGATGTGCGGCTCGAACAGACCTGGCTGGGACGGTCCCTGGAGAACCTGCTGCAGTGCCCTGGCTTCGGATGTAGATCCAGTGCCCCCAAGGCTCTTCAGCAGGAACTTGGTAGGTGCAAGCAGGAGTTTAAGAAGCCAGTTGCTTGGCAAGTTCGTCAGTTTAAAAGAGCTGAGTTTCAAAGGTTGCGAGGCACAGCCGCAAGCCGATGAAATGGTCTCGTGAATGTTCTGAACAAACCTGAGGTGGCGGTTGTGTTATAAAGAAGAACTTACTACAGTACAGTGTAACTTCAGTGGACTGCAGCTGTGCAACCTCTTGTGGGCAGTGCTGCGTGGCCAAGCTGAGGTGCTTCCAGGGAGACAAAGTGCTGGTTCGTGGGAAGAAGGTGCCGACAGTGCAGGCAACTTCTGATCTGGATCTCTGGTGCATCTCGACCAGGTGACGATCCGAATCCTTGCCCAGATGGCCGATGTCATAGAAGGCCGCCACTTCTGGAACCCTAAGAGACCATGGCTCTACCTTCTGTTGAGCTGTCTTTGCAAGGGATGCAGGAGCCTCCGCAGTGCTTCCAATGTGAAGTAGTTGAGAAACGTGAACCCGTTGGTCGTCTTTTGTGGCATTACCTTTCTGTTGATTGTGCTTAGAGCACCACTGGGAACACGCTGTAGACACCCGACCCGCCGACCAAGAACCTCGTCTGGATGCGTCCGAGTTGCGAGAGCGTAAGGTCTCTTAGGTCACAATAGCCCGCAAGAGCACTTCTGCGAAGCAGCACGCAGACATCCAGGCAGTCACTGGCACTCAAGAGATGTTGAATGATTGGCCTCACAGTAAGTCTCCGCTGACAGGGCGCTCCTCCTATGAGGCGCGGCATTTGCGAAAGGTGGTGTTTGGCTGCTGAGGTCTGAGCGCAGACGAAGGCAAAGGTTTGGCTGTTTAGTCACTATGGTCTATAGTCAAGATACGGGTCTCATCAGACATGGTGCTGCTCTTAAACATAAAACAGGTGCGGCAAGGTCTGGTGTATGTCAGTGTTTGCAAGTGTGTATCTGTCTATGTCAGTATGTGCCGTTGCCTGGGGTCGACAGATTCAGCACCTGTCTATCTCAACCTTTGGCACGGCTTGGCTGGGGCGTGCTTGTTGGCACGGCAGGAGCGGAGCCGCCGCCGCAGGATGCGTACGTTGAAGGAGGTGGCTGCAGCAGAGGCCAGCTGACGAAAGATCTCGCGGCACACTGTTGGAACGATGCCTGCGACGAAATCGCCGCTATTGTGATTGAAGATGCTTCGCCAACTGCCAGCCTGTTGCGCAATTTCGTGTGCTTCATGGCAAGACCTACCGCTAATCCACGTCCTGAGCTGCACGCAAGGCGAAGATGTGGGATGTGCATGCCGTCCAAAAGGCGCAGAGGTTCTTGGATAATCAGGAGCCATGCATGCGGAGATGCCGCAGCTCGCGCTACAGTCACCTCAGTCTCTAGACATGCAACTAGCTCCTCAGAGAGTTTTCAGCAGTCAGATCGGCTTGAGAATAGCTCTAAGTTTTTGTGCGATGATTGCCCACGCGAGTCGTCATCTTTGCACTGATCTGACGTCTGTGCAGGAGTTCGAAGACCGGATTGCGCAGGCTGCGATGCTATTACTGCGGAGAGACCGGATCAAGACTGCAACTGCTTTTGGTGAAGTGGGGTTGCTGTACGCCAGAGCAGTCGCAGCTCTCGGCACTAATAGAGAGTCGCGTTCGAATCAGTCCGACCTTCAACTGGACCTAGCTCAGCTCTCGATTCAAAGACAAGTTTCCTGTCCTGGCTTCAACAGCCGCTCCAATGTGGGCCCTAAGCTGCCTGAACGGAGGCGCAACAGTTCGTTAGTGCTGGCGGCCCTGCTCGATTGCAGGAGTGGGCCCCGTGGTGTGATCGTTTGCTTAAGTTGAATACTTCGGGATGCCGTTTCAAGAGCACAGGCATGTCGCAAGCCTGCTTGCAAGGTAGCCATTCGCGATCAGATACACTTTTGCATTGGCCCAAGGCCGCACGGACAAGAGCTTGTGGACCAGCTCCTGCCCACGCGGAAACTCATCTCACAGACCCCCTGCTGGGCGGACCATGCACGGATAACCTCGAACATCGAAATCTACCCGTCTGAGAGCTCGAAGCCCTCAGCCTGTGCCTCCGTGAGGACTTCCTGCTCGACCTGGCCGCGAAGGAGCGGGAGGAGTACTACATCGACCAGTATCTCAAGGCGAGATGCGAAGCATCTGGACTGGTCTGATCACATGATTGCATTTGCATGGTCGAGGGCTTTGTAAGATCTCACGCTTGTGTTGAAGACCGAGAAGCTCGGACCGGGGCTGTTTACGTCAACTTTGCATAGCATGGCCGAGCCGTCCCAATTTCAGCAGGCCGGGGACAAGCCTGGAGCGATTTTGATCGAGGCGGAGGCAAAGAAGGCCGGCTTGCGTGAGACGTGAACGACTGGGAGGGCCACTTCAAAAGAGTCGCCCTCTGTAGTAGGAGTGGGCTTTTCTATCAAAAGGTGGCTGCAATGCAGTGGCTGATGCTTCTTCAAGAATTTGTCCATGTAGCAAAACATGGCCAACATGGAGAGCCATGCCGTTGTGCTGTAGTCAAACACACATGTGTGTGTGCAGTAACAACCGCTAGCGACGAACGTCGCAGCACTGCTGGCTCGACGTCTGAAGGTTTTGCCCACCCTCTCCTGCAGCTGTTGTTGCCACGCATGTCTGCATATCGGCCACAGGCAGCGATGCTCGAGAAGATGGGGGAGGACCTCGTGTGTGATACGGTTTGGATCTGAAAACTGGGTCTTCGTTTTCAGAAGCGAGGTTTCGCAGTAGTTTGGGCCCAGCCAACTGCATGCATGCGAGCTTGGTGGTAGTAACTTAGCATGAACATTTCTGCCGCCATTGTTGCTTCGCCCATGGTCCGCTGCTTCCTGTATCTAGTCGTCGTCCTCTTCACCGGCGTCCTTGTGCCAGGAGCTTCACCGAGACGAGGCCTTGGAGGTGGACATGCCCCTTGGTGACAACCACGGCTCTGGACTTTTTATGGCAGGCCAACCTCTGGTTCAAGGTGTCCCCTGCTCCAACTTAAACCCTTTCGGCCCAAGCGAGTCAGAGAAGGAATGGCTGCAGAAATCGTGCAGCTCTTAATGCTCTTTTTGCTAGACGGCAGCGATGGCAGTGGCCCCACTTGGCCTGTCATGGACGCTCTCCGATGCCATAAGACCTGGCAAAGACCAGGCGACTGCTCCAGCGGCCTCGTCCGTCGATACTGAAGAGTCCGTGACGACAGTAGGTGTGACAGGGCTGCCGGCTTGGCTTGAGGATACAGCCTTCGAAAGATACCTGGCAGAGCGCGTGCAAGGCAATCTGCAGAACTTTGGCCTGATTCAGGGCCGAGTGGCGGTCCAGTTTCAGGCTACGGAGCCAGATGTTGATAGTCCTTCGGAATCCTACGACGAGATGCCTCATCAAGGTGTCCGCTTCAGCATGCAATTGGATTCCAGCAGCCAGTGGCCAGTCGTGAGGTCCATCAATGTGGACTGCAGGATCCAAGAAGCCGGTTCTTTCATAAACTTGGGTATCAGCACCAGCACAACAGTCTCCGACTGGGCCGAGGACGTGTGGTCAGCTCGCCGGCACTGGGAGCAGAGGCTGTTGTCCGGGCTATCTAATTACGTACGGAGGCGAGAGAAGGAAGAGGCTCCTGACGACACATCCGTGACGTCCTCTGTCTGGAACTTCGCGTCCGAAGGGGCCAGCCCCAAGCGCCAGTCTATCGCAGACTCTGAGGAATCGGTGTGGAGGCTATACGGGCCAGAGGCTTTGGGTCAGCTGCTGTCAGAGCTAATCCTAAATTCTGCCGCGAAGATCGCGGCCAAGTTCCTGGAAGGTACAATGCTGGATGTGCTGGCGACCCTGCCTTTCTGGCCGGTTGGCCCCTTGAACTTCGAGGAGCACTTTCCACCATTGTCAAAGCAAGACATGTATGTCGACTCAGACAAGCAATTATGCCCCGACCTGTTCTTGAGATTGGCGGCAGTGGTGTGGAAAGCAGCCTCTCAGGGCATGCAAACGTTGGAGCTTGCGCTCTGGGAGCTACGACAGCGCGGCATGCCTTTGGTGAAACTAGCACTGCACACGCCGGTGCTATATAAGTCTGGCGGGAGGCATCGAAGTCTGTCGGGCCCTCTGCTGATGTTCGTCGTAGATCAGATGAACAAAAGAGAGTTCGCCACAGACTTGGTGCATTCTGTGATAGCAAGCTCTGCAGATCCCAATGCCGAGTATGTCCTCTTCCCAACTGGCAAGCAGAAGGCAATTGGAAGGTTCCCTCTCCTGTGTCTTGCGGGGAATCGGCAAGCCCACAACCTGGCTGAAGCTCTGCTACGTCACGGGGCAGATGTCAATTGGGAGACTTTGCTGTTTAGCTGATGCACTGCATTTTGTGTGGTTGTGTTAGGTAAGTTAGGGAACCGCTAGGCGTACTCATTTGGTTGGCAAATGGTGAAACGCTAGCGAAGGAAATCACGCTAAACTATTTCCCTCATGGTGGCCATGCCTTGTGGAGCGCAGTTTGGGGGAGCGACTATGGCATGATCCGGCTACTGCTCAGCTTCGGCGAAGCCGATGTGAATGTACGTGCCTGGCATCCAGATGCTCCGCCTTTGACAGGGCAGGCGAGACACTTGCAGCTTCTGTCATTGGCGTCCACTGCCTTGGATTCAGAACATGTGCACCTCTTGCTCGAGTGTAAAGCTGACTTTCAGGAGGAGCTGTCGCCTACCTTTGCTGCCTGTCATGCTGAAGTGACTCGATTATTGGCAAGCCACGTAGCCTATAGCCATCCCCAGGCAATTGTGCACAGGTGTGATGAACTGCAGGGGACCTGTGGCGTCTGGATCGACTGGGTGTTTCAAGAAATATCGGGTGACATCACTTCCAAGCGGCTATTTCGCTCTGCGTTGTCAGCTGCCAGTGCCGATTTGGACTTGCACAGGTCTTTCATGGCATTGTTATGTGACTTAATCCAGCGCCTGCCGACCGCTGCGGCGGAACTGCTCGACAAGATCTGCCTGCAGAGCCCTCACGTTCAGGAACCGGGCCGACATCCGTTGAGAACGAGATGCCTCTTCCAGGCACATGAGCTGCACACGGCTTACCTTGCAGAGACCAAATGGGCACCCGGCGGCACTAAGTTTCAAAACGCACTGGCGCCGCCTGCACGCCAAGCTGGAGAAAGGTATTGCGGGCTTTTTCCAACTATGCGGCAAGTGGAGTTCTGCGACATACAACTAGTCGGCATTCCAGGCCTTGTTGACGAGCGTGTTCTACTGTCGCTTCAGACGTTGCCATGGGAAACGCTCGTGAAGCTGCTCACAGGGAGCATCGTCTTCCAAGCTTTGGTGGAACACATGTGGAGAGCTGGCATGCGAAAGACACACTACATGCAGGCAGCAACATCGGTGATTCAATTCTGTTGTTTGCTGATCTGGTGGCAAAGGCGCGATGGAAAGTGAGTTGGTTGCTCTGCAAGCAGTGGAAGAGTTAGGTCCGTGCCGCCTATTATGCTCACGAATCTGAAATGTTACGGCTGTTATGACCAAAGTTTTGTTTCGTCAATGTGGGGACGGGCTTCCAAGACCAAAGTCGTGATGCTCAGCATCCGAATACATCCGAATCCTAAACTCAACACCACCACATTGCAGTTGTTTAACAGTAACGACTGCGCACTTGGAGTCATGGCGATGCAGTCAGGCGCTTCGTTCATTTCTTCACCTCCGGCTCTTTCCCTCTGGCCCCAATTGGTCTTATCCCTTCTTTGCTTCCTCCCTGTCTTGCTAGCTCTCGCGCCCTCTGTCTGTGTGTTGCTGCCCGTTCTTCTCCCTCCGTGTCTCGCTCTCGCTCCATTTCCCTCTCGGTCTCTCTCTCTCTCTCTCAATTTCTCCCTTCAGGACCGAGACTGGTGTAATGGCCTGGTGCTGGGCAGTATTTGCCGGATCTGTGGGCTTCCAGCTGTCGAACATCCTGCTTCTAGTTCACCGGCGCAAGGTCCCTTTGCTTCGGCGTGTCATCCACACTGGTATGGGCGTACATTTGGTGGCTTCCGGCTGGTTGGCGTGGGATGAGACCCCACGAGATGATTACAAGTCATCCATGGCCGTCAACGTAGTCGCGGTTGTTGTATCCATTGTATACAACTGTCGTGTGCTGCAGCCGTTTGGCATTCGAGTCGGCCAGAGTCTCTTGCCAATCCTGAACTCTGTTGGCAGGCGTGAATTCGCAGCGATGGCGATGCTAATGTTCGTTACTCTGTTTGCCACGCTCTTGTATGTGTGCATCGAGTTCGACACAGACGCAGAAGGTCTCACGACTAAGCTAATCTTGCCAGTCCCAAATAAGTGGATGACAAGAAACCCGAATTCACGGCAGCCAGATCTGACCCCTGCAGGCTTTGCTTCAGCGGCTTTCCAGACATGGCAAACACTCATCGTGGGTGAGCCAACGCTGGTCAATGCCAATGACAGCAATACAAACGTGATCAGGTACCTGGCGGTGTCTTTGTGTTTCTTTGCCTGCAACACCGTGCTCATGAACATTCTCATAAATGTGACTGGCTCTGTGTATCTCCAAGAGACGGCAAACGCCGTGGGCAGCATGCAGGCAGAGAGGCTTCGCATTTGCGTAGAGGCTGTGGCAGGAGCTCACTTTACTCGGTGCGCAGTTTTCGTAGAATTTCTTGCAGGATGGGGACTCTGGCTTCTCCTAATTCTCGCAACTTCGAGCATATGGAATGCATTGAACATATTGATTGCTATGGCTTGTTGGCTTGTTGGCTTCTGCTCGCAGTGGCATGTGGCACGGCGAGCAGTTGCTGCCATGGACAACTTCGAATCATCGTCTCATGCGTTGGAGCCTGGGGCTTTGCGGTATCTTTGGATCTGCCGGCCAACAGACCACGCAGAAGTCCATGCCTCCAGCAGGCATCGCAGTAGCCGAAGCCCAAGAGCGGGCGAGCGCAGCCCCATGGCTCAGGTTCGAGCTCTTAAGTCAAGGTTCGACCGGCAGCCGCATATACAGTTCATGGCAGACGACCTGAAGTCCACGGTTTCACTTTGATTTTGGTTCTCGTTCTCTGGACAATCCTGGGCCCGAAGGGTTTTCAGGATGCGCCATGTGCCTATGTCTAGGAATAGGACGAGTAGGATCGATGGATTCTGCGGGTGCAGCCCTTCACATGGACTCAACATATAAGTGCATCCTACCGGTATTTCATTATGCAGTATTTGGCTCAGTGTCGCTCCAACCCACACTCAGCCGCAGCCATCGTGGCAGTTGTGCGAGATAGGAGGCACATTTTCTTGCGGCAGTCACGAAAATGGTGTGAGAGAAAAAGCGGCGCTTTTGACAAGTCCCCTGTTTGCACTGCAGTCTATGACAAAACAACCCAACTTAGCAGCTCTTGCAAAGCTGAAGAGCAGAGTGGCGACCTGACCTGACGCAGCATGCCAAGACGAGGCAGCAAGACGATGACAACCTCTACGAGAAATCTGCAGGGAGAGAATCTCTCATGATCGCTATGCAGCGGGAAGAGGCCACGCTATCTTGCCTTTGAGAATGCAGCACAACCCTTCAGTGGTGTATATTGTGTGAGTCAGCTTTCCATCTGTCGAGCCCGAGAGGAACTGCTGGACGATGATCAAACGGGTCTGTTCGTTCTCCGTCCGGACAGCCTGGCTTGGGATGAGGAGAGATTGCAATGCCTCTTCCCGCATTGTGAAGACCTTCTTGTGGCAAGCGAGTGCGGCTTCACCCAGCTTGAAGTTTCTTGGCAAGGCTGTGCGGGCTTTCTGAGTGGGGGTGGGTTTCTCGTGACGGTGGGACGAGGTGGTGGTGGTGGTGGTGGTGGTGGTGGTGGTGGTGGGTTAGCGATGCAGACGGTCATTTGGCATCGACAAGAAAACTGAGGAGTCAGTGACCGTGTGTGCGAAATCAAAAGTTCCACCACACTCCCAGAATCTTTGGGCTCACAGGCGCCCGTGTCAAGTTCAGAGGCCACGTGGTGTCTTCGGTGATGAACTTTGAAAGGAGATCTTCCAGGACGTCAAGAAGGGTCTCGTCCTCAGCCTGGGTGCAGCCCGCTTTACCACTGCAAGTGAGCTCAGGGTATGGGGCTCTTGAGATCGTAAGTTTTAGCACCATTACGCCCACTACGAAGACCAGCAGCAGACTGAGGTCAAACGCACCTGGTCTACGCTGCGGCTGCCTATCTTCGAATTGCTCCTTGCCTCTGCCGACGCACACAAGATCAAGTGGCAGCAGGTGTTGCAGCCGTGAGTTGTAGAATAAGAAGGTGATCTTGCAGGCATGGGTCGCAACCGATGGAACCTTCCTGCAAGATGTTGCTGTAGGCTCTCGCATCAGCTTTGGGTTCCTAGGTCCATGGGCTCCTGGCCCTCCCGCCGCACCCTTCCTGCCGGCGGCAGATGCTGGATGACCTGAGACAACCGGCAGCCCGGCCAACTGGCAGCTCAAAAGTAGAGTCCACTCTTGCGGCCGAGCCCGGCTGCAGCTCAACAAGTTACCCCAAATCGGCTATTTGCAGCAGCATCCACGAGCCGTAGTAGTTCTTGAAGGAAGTTGCTGTGGAGGCTTCCTCTTCTACTGGGCTCGAGGGGCCCTGTCCGCGTGGTCAGGCTATGGAAGCAGATTGCCCTACTACGCCCCTATAGGTTTATCTACGCCCTAGATTTCCGATGGGTGTCCTGAACACTGATTCTGTTGTGGATCACCTTCAGAGAAATCCATCAGATATCCCGTCTGTGGTCCCTGGCCATCTCATGCTTGCAAGTCTCGACAGAAGTTTTCACAAGTTTCGAAGGCATAGGGCGCAGACATCACCTAGCAACCAAAATCAGACAGTGCATCATATCGTCGGGAAATCTGTGTCTGTGAACTCTGCCACCACACCGTCTGAGACTCTCCAAGGAGTACTTGGCCAAGCTGCTCGCCCTGGTCTCGGGGCTTCCCAGCCTTGCTTGCCATGTGGCCGCGAAGTTCCTCAAGGTGGCCACCGGAGACCGGAGGGCGAGCGTGCAGGAACAGGTTTCTCCTAGGCTCTTTGTGTCCGCCGTTTGCTTTCCTCTGCTCCTGCGCAATGCGCCATTCCTCTCGTCTCTGCGGGCCCTTCGTGCTAAGTTCCTTTCCGTAGCGCTGTTGTGGGTTTCTTAGGCAAGGGCTTCCTCAAGCCCCCCTGCCTTCAGTTGCGTGCAGTCGTTATGCCTGTCGATACACAGTCGCTTTTTTCTTCCTTTTTGCACACAACGCCCGGAGCTGCGGTCGCCTTGTGTTTCGGCATGATTCGGCACCTGTTCGGATTACACCCGGTCATTCTGGTCTGTTCTTCCTTCTCAATCAGGCCCTTCCTGCCAAGGTGATGTCAAGCGCATTGACAGCGGCTGCCGATGATGGAGCGTGATCAGCAATGCTTCTCCGGGGATTGTTGCAGTATTGACTCTGCAGCCTTTGGAGCTTAGGCTAAAGGGTGGTGCTGTCGCTTACGGCACATCCGCCAGCTGCAAAAAAACATATGCGGGGCGTTTGAAATTCTAAGCACCCCGATACATCGCTGCAGGAGATGTGCCGGCCCCGAAGCTGGAGCACTTCTGCATGGTGTCGACACTTCGATCTGTCAGACATTTTCGGATTCGCAAGTACTTGAGGACATTGTGTTTGCTCGCGATGCGTTGTAGACATCAAGCTTTGTTTCGCCCAGGATGTATACACAGCAGCTGGCAGAGTCGCTGCTCTATCTGCTCTCCGCTGAAATTCTGTTCTGGGCTTGGGGTCGCAGATCGTGAGGGGTTCCATCACACAAGATCCTATCAGCTGACGCGGGCCTTGAAAGATCACGGCAAAGACTGAACCCTCCCTCAAAAGCTTTGTCCAGCCTCGCCGAGCTTGAGCTTGACATGATTTGGGTGCTCCGGGGATAGCTTGCGTTTTTGTGCTTTGTGCTTGCGGCGTCGGGCAAGTGTCGGATCTGCCTCTTCTCGTTTCAGCTGCAACGGCTGAAGGCTGAAGCTGACAAAGGACCAGCGCCTGGATCCCAACGAGGAAGTGCTCAGCGTGGAGATTGCACGTCCCTCGACTCTGAGTAGATCTAGGTATTGGGACGGAGGCGACGAAGAAGTGTAGCAGAAGAGAAGGAACAAAGAAGAGAAAGCAGAGGCAGCAGGAGGAGAATGGTAGCCGTAGTGGTGGTAGTAGTCGTCGTCTACGTAGTCGTACGTAGTGCTAGTCCTATCGCAGTCGTCGTCCTCGTCGCCGCCGTAGAAGTAGTAGCAGTCGTCGTCGTGGTAGTCTTACTGGTAGTCGTGGTAATTTAGCAGTAGCAGCAGGATTAGCTGTTGAGCAATAGCAGCAGGGGCAGCAGCAGTTTGCGGTTGTTACTACTGCTACCACCGCCGTCACAACTATGTACGATTAGTACGGGTAATCAGTACATGGTGTAGGCAATGACCGTCTCTTTAGAGAGAGGCTGGTTAGCCCTGACATTTTTGATCCGGGTATGAGTGCCGGATCTCTGGAGTTCAGTTCACAGAGTGGGCGCGCACAAACCCGCCGCCATGAATGTGTTACCACGGCATGATGAACCTATTTCGAGAACCACTGCAGTCATAATCAGTGCAGGATTCAGAGGAAGCGTGAGAGGGTTTCCCGGAGGTTTCGTCGGCACCCTGGTGCAAGCGGTGCCCCGCTTCGCAAACAGCTCCTTCCGCTTCCCTGCTGCTCGGCCAAACCTGACATGCCATGAGACTTCTGACTAGATGCAACTCAGGCAGACCGTTGCAAAAAGTAGTTGGTTTGGTTTCAAGATGTGGTTGCAGCGCAATTCGCCCCTGTACGTCGAATGGCCGAGCACCCAAAAACCTTCTCTCCATCTATTTCATGAATTAATTTGTTTCACACTTTCACGGCCTTTCCCTCATCATGAACTTGTGTCTGTGGTTATTCGTATATAGCGCTTTCAGTTCCGCATGATGCTGCAGTTAAGGCTGCATGTGTTCACGGGTGATGCAGCAGTAAAACTGGACCGAAAGTTTGCTGCTCCAGTCAATGCTAGTGATGTAGAATCCAGAAAGCACGTAGAACACAAGCTGTGTACATGCTCTCTTCTTCTGAGCTTCCCCGAGGATCAGCCAGAAATCCAACGGATGTGCATCGAGCCGCCTTCCTCGCATTGCCGTGGGGGCGGGGAAATTCAAAAGCAAGACCTGGGTCACAGAGAGGACCAGATTTCGGACAGGCGTGGCGCTTCACGACTAGCAGCATGATCTAAACGCTGTGTTGTTGCAGACTGCTCGGTGCTGTGGACCCAGCAGGTACACGCAGCAAGCCGCCCATGTCAAGGCAGTTCAATTAACTAAGTTTCTCAACTATCTTTTGCACACCATGAACACCAAGACCCAGACCAGCATCAAGTCTTCAGTGGGATGCAGATGCCGAAAACTCTGCCTGACAGTCTTTGGATCTGTAGACTCTGCTTGGAACCATGTGTGTTGGGGTTATATTTTCGGGTCACGTAAAGTCATCGCGCGTGCTTGAAATCTAGCACACCACGGGTTCGCGTCTTGACCCTACCCAGTGCATGCGAAAATGGGTGCTCCAAGCCCGTGCAGCCGCGAGCCCATACATGCATGGAGCTCGAAGGAAGTTATAATGTTGACCATACATCGACACCTGCCCGCATCCTTGAACTTATTATAGGCCCTAAAGCCTAGACCATCCAAGCCAAGGAAGTGCCTCGACTGGCTGGTGCCTGCAGAATCTCGGCCGGCTTTCAATGCAACAACACTAGTGCTACCACTACCGCGACGGCTACAACTGCTACTGCTACTGCTACTGCTACTGCTACTGCTACTACTGCTGCTGCTACTCCTCCAGCTGCTGCTACTATTAACTACTACTGCTACTACTACTACTACTACAATTATTGGCAAATTGTTGGGTAACTAAGAATTAAGTACTAGGTATTCGGTAGTAGGTAGTAGGAAGTAGTTAGCAAGTAGCAGGTAGTAGAGGTAGTAGTCGAAGTAGTAGTGGTAGTCGTCATCGTCGTCGTAGTAGTAGAAGTAGTGGTAGTGGTGGTAGTAGTAGTAGTAGCAGTAGTGGTGGTGCTAGTAGTAGTGCTAGTAGTAGTGCTGGTAGTAGTGCTAGTAGCAGTGCTAGTTGTAGTGCTCGTGGTAGTGCTAGTAGTGCTGTCGTAGTCGTAGTAGTAGTAGTAGTAGTAGTAGTAGTAGTAGTAGTAGTAGTGGTAGTAGTAGTAGTAGTCGTGGTAGTAGTAGTAGTAGTAGTAGTAGCAGTACTAGTAGTAGTAGTAGTAGTAGTAGTAGTAGTAGTAGTAGTAGTAGTAGTAGTAGTAGTAGTAGTACTAGTACTAGTAGTAGTAGTAGTAGTAGTAGTAGTAGCAGTACTAGTAGTAGTAGTAGTAGTAGTAGTAGGAGTAGGAGTAGGAGTAGGAGTAGGAGTAGGAGTAGGAGTAGGAGTAGTAGTAGGAGTAGTAGTAGTAGTTGTAGTAGTAGTAGTAGTAGTAGTAGTAGTAGCTGCTAGTGCTAGTGCTACTGCTAGTGCTAGTGCTAGTGCTAGTACTAGTACTCGTCGTAGTAGTAGTAGTAGTAGTAGTAGTAGTAGTAGTAGTAGTAGTAGTAGTAGTAGTAGTAGTAGTAGTAGTAAAGTAGAAACTTGGTAGTAGTGCCGTGGATTTTCCAGTTCAGACTTCCAGGGCTATCAGTGTTTTTAAACAAACAAAAACAAACAACCACATGAATTAATCTCTGAAGGGCTTCATCTTAGATGGCCCCCTTTGAATGCACACCGGAAAGGTCAAGTTGCATGAGGTCGATTTGCCTTTGTCTAACCTCGCCTGTGGACATTGTTTCCTGCCATGCGAGAGGGAAGAAATCACTGTATGTATACACAAATAGCAGAATGCAAGTAGAGAGACAAGAGATAGATAGATGGATGGATAGGCTTTGATAGACAATGACAGATGTGTGGTTACAATCTACGCAGCGCATGTACGGCAAAACAGATGCTCGACTTGCCTCAAGCACTCAGAAGCCCGAGTCTTCACGACTCCAAGGCAACTGTGCGGGTCTTCGTTGCGATGCTCTTCGGCGTATTTGGCACGACATGTTTGTGTGCGCGTGTCGCTGAAGAGACTGTGTGGCCGGTGGCACATCTTTGTCCAGGATTCTGTACGAGCTGCAATTGGACATCGGCGGCGGCTCGGGGAGAAGCATTCACCACGAGCCACCTGGCCGCAATAATGGGAGAGGCTAGAGAGGATGCAGGTACAAAGCGCTGTTTGGAGCATGACACTTGGTATCGTCGACCGCATGTTTTGAGAGTCGGCCTCCGTCCGCCAGGTTCGTTAAGGATGCCTACAAACGAGTGGGCATGAAAGACCAAGCCTTGGCTGCGCTCACGCACATCTTGGTCCGCTGCACGGACTACCGCTACGACGTCTTGGAGGTCTTCAGCGTCGGCGAGGTTTTCCTTGCGCAGCTCAGCTCTTCCTGTTCCTAGGTCTGCTCGTGGCCACTTTATGTGGCGATGCCGGACCTGAGGCAGGAGTTTGTGACATCGCCAGCTGAGGCAGAATGTGCGACCAAGCTTTCTTGGCGAAATGCTGAGCCTTGTTTTGCAAAGTACTGTGAAGGCCCAGGCCTTTTGGATATCAGGGAAGAAAGACAGCATCACACCCTATGTAGATGACACGAGGAAGCCATCCTGTACTACTGGTAGTACATTTTACCCATTTTACGGGAGAACCAGTCGACAGCAGCCCGTGCCCTTCGCCACCAAGGAACGGGTTGAACCTTGGGGCCTTCACACTCTACGTGGAGACCTTCCTGGCGGACTACGACCCGTTGACAAAGGACCTTCTGCTTTCGAGAGAACGCTGTCTGGAATCGTGCAGCCAGCCAACTGCGTACAATTCACCGAGGCAGGGAACATGAGACAAAGACAACACCGCAGCACGGCTTATGAACGCACAGTGATCGGATGAGCAGCATCGCAGCAACCAGCAGTGCCCAGCATGTAGCACTGTTTCTAGCTCTGGCCTTAAAGTACGGTCTGGCACGTCTGTGGCCCGAGAAGGACCAGCAAGTTCTCCACCTGGAAATCGTGGAGATGCAGAGCCACACATCTAACAACTTCAGCATCTATCTTCTGGTGCCTGGGTCTGCAAGGAAGTGGAGGTAACACTCCGATCCTACGGATTGGTATTTGGGTCAACTGACGTTACCGTTAGTCCTCCGACGCCTGAAGCCCGCTTCCGCGAAGGTTGCGACAAACTTCAAGGTTTTCCTCCTTGAGCCCAACCCTGAGAAGCCTGCATATGCAGCGGAGATCGGCGAGCGCTGGGATCCGAACTGGGACCCTCTGTCAAGCATTTTCAGTATGCCTTGACTGCGTTACGTCAGCTGGGGCAGTACACTAGCACTGGTCAACCTCAGTAGGATGTCCGGTCTCGGCACTGGTTGCCGGCGCACCTTAGTCTACCAGTCGTGAACATGAAAGGCAAGGACAGGAACATTGTCCCTTCAAAGGAGACGCTCTTTCCCCGGCAGCCACTGGTCGTCTGGGAGCGCGAGTATTCGAGCTTGGTACGGATCTGGCGATGCTACGGCTCGCAGAAGCTTGGCGCCAAGACACTTTGGACGTGGGAGGCAGCAACATGTCGCAGTCGCAGCGCTGTCGAAAGTATCTGCGCGTCTGAAAGCAGGTCCCAGGTCTTGCAGTTATGAGGTGACCAGGGGTTCTTGAGCCAGGTGATGCTGATAGGTAGTAGCGCCGTAGCGAAGAGAGCGAGCGATACTTTGCATCTGCAGCTTTCCGATGTTTCTTTGTCAGCATTCTTTGATCCCAGGATTTTGGCAGTTGAGTGGCAAGGAGCCGGCAAGCGACTATCCGATGCTGAAGAAAGCTCCCCTGGCAGTGGGCAGGAAATCCAGCACCTTGTGCAAGCAGCTTACGGAGACAGTGGCCTCACGTGCAGCTTCGAATGTGTGCCCTTCCAGTCAGCCCAAGCAGCAGGTACGAAGTCTACCTCTTTCACTTGGCGGATTGTCGGGATGTCATGGCAGATTGCCTTCGTGCCTACGCAGCTTCCAAGGATGTGAAGGGCGAGGGCCCCCCGGTGCTTTGGTGAAATCTTGGAGCCCAACCCATCGTCATGTTTCGGGGTCGCGTTTGCCAGCCGCTTTCCGGCGGTATCAGAGCTTCTCAACTAGCTGTTTAGTTTCTGCTCACATCTCCATCCCACTGTCTTGGTCTTGGCCTGCTGTCCTCCGAATTCGGGCTACATCCAAGCATAGAAAGTGTCACTCAGTCACCGTCCCAGTCATCAGCTTTGGCTTGTTCGTCAGCCGTCGGAAACTTTCACCTGCACGCATCAACCCTGAAGCCGTCCGAGAGGTCTTGACCGACCCAAGCTTCCGCAACATCGTCATCGGGCAGACGAAGGAGGACTACGCCGACCCTTCGCGAACAGCACGGCGCACGCGACCGCGATAAATATTTGCATGACACTGAGCATTCACCAGCCAGGCAAGCTCGGTGTCTAGTCTAAGGGGAGGAAGAGACAGCCAGTACAGGAGCAGATGCTCGCAGCCACGGTGACTACCCTGGGCCCAACTCCAAGGCTCCTCGGCACCGCAAGCTCAGTGACAGGTACATGTACAGCGAACTCCTAGGAAGAGAACAGGTGAGTTCTTGGTTTCCATTCTAAGTCTAGCCCTGGCGGAGCCCTTGTGCTTGAGCTGTTTTTGCTTCATTCCAGTGGTTCAGGTTGGAGCCTCCAGGCTCAGATTGACGCAAGAGCAACATTCTTGCCCTTACTGAGCTCCCATCCCGGATGAACTCTTTCCACAAAAAATTCTGCCCCCGTGTACACGGCAGACTGCTTTGGAAGTTATCGAACTCCCAGCATCTGAACCAGTTGCTGAAGTACCGATTGCGTTGCCAGTGAGAAGGCTGTCGAGGTCTCCTGAAATCCTCAGAAGCTCCCGAACTCAGCCAATCGTCAGGGTTGGCTTATTTGCCGCTGAGCAGAAAGCAGACCACCGGCCACGACTCTTCGTGCAGCTTGACTTTGTCTGGCCGTCGTGAGACTTTCTTCGAATTGGAGGCTCTCCTGCGGGCCTTGGGTTCCACGGCGCAGTAGGTCATGAGAAACAGTCGGCACACGGTGCGTGGTAGCAGAGCGAGGTTGACGAAGGCATCAGTCCTTGCCCCTCGGCTGACCATCTTTGCAGCTTGTCGAGCAGGAGTTGTTCGGTCATGGTCGTCCAGTCCTGTGAGTTTCAACGGCCACGACTTCCAAGGAGTTCGCCATCAACTCCAGTTGCCCGGCTTGACATCTCTTCGCGTTTTGATTTAAATCTCTATGCTTTGAAGCCTCCGGCGGACGGCCACGGCAGGTGTATTTTCTTCCGTATAGGTTGCTGCAGGGGAAAGTTCAAACGTGAGAGCCCTGCTCTGCGCAGCACTGCGCAGCATGAGTCTTGCATGTAGGCCGCAGCCCAGCTTGAGCCAAGAGTCACATCGTCTCCAAAGCACCTGCCGAGCGATAGGCTGGTGTGCATGATGAAGGCGAAGGCTGTGTTGAGATGGCTGCAACCCAACCGGCAAGTCGAGGCAAGCAGTCTTGCAGGAAGTTGCCGGAGATCCAACAACTGGAGGGACTTCAAGAGCCATTCTCGACTTCAGACGTTTTCCGGGCAGTGGAGCCTTTTCTCCCATCCTGGCGATCTGCCCCGCAGAAGGCCACTGTGGTGCTCCGACACATGGCAGGTCGCCAACCCGCCCTGGCCTTGGCCGTCCTCCGGAGCATGGTGCTCGGACTGGTGGAGACAAACACGGTGCACTGGAACGCCCTTATCTTCAAAGCCACACAGGACTGGGACTGGGAACGCGGGTATGCGCTGGTGGAGGAAGAGGTGGCGGCAGGATTGAGCTGCGAAGCCAACAGCTACAATTCTATATTGAGCGCAGCTGTACGATCTGAGCGGTGGCCGCGGGCGATCGCTATGCTGAGTCAGAGATTTGAGGTGGGAGTTTCTGCTGACACGGTCAGCTTCAACATCTTCGCCGACTCGATCGCCAAGCGTGGCGAGTGGCGACGTGTCTTGTGCATCCTGCAGGATCTTTTCTCTGAGCACTTACTACCTGATGCAGTCACCTACAGTGCCTGTATATGCGCAGGCAAGTCTGAGGAGCATTGGCCTCTCGCTTGCCACCTGTTGCAGAGAATGCAATCCCTCGACGTTGCGCCTGACATGGCAAACTTTGGCACAGCTGTAAATGCATGCGGCTCGACTACAAAGTGGAAGTCTGCGGCGCAGCTTCTCCGTGAAGGTGCTGCCAGAACCTTGCGTGTAAACGCCGCCAGCTTCAATGCTGCCATCTCGTCCCTGCGTTCAGGAGAGATGATGTCCAAAGAATCTTTTCGAAAGAAGGAAAACTACCTGTACTATAGGACTAGAAGTGACCTATTAGTGTCAGCGTGCAGCGATCATCAGCAGTAAAAGGGGTTCCTGACAGTGGAGGGCTTCTTGGAAACCTGCAACACGATGATGGATCCTTTGCTCCGTTTGTTGCGTTGATGCACGGCCTAGAGACGTAAAGTGTATTCCAGCAGCGGTAGGCGAGTGGCAAAGGGCAGCCGGCTATGTGGAGGCCATGCGAAAATGCCAGATGGGTCCCGATGCCATCACTTTGTCTTCATCCGTCACTGCATGCGACAAAGGAGCGTGGCAAGTTGCACTGGTCCACTTCGTCGATTTCTCACGGCGCAAAGTTTGTCCCAATGCTTTCGTCGGCAATGCGCTGCTTTCCTGTTGTTCCAGCGACTCCCAGTGGCAAGCTGGACTGCAGATGCTTATGCTCTTCCAGCAGCTGCACATCGCCACGGAGGTGAGCTTCAACATCGCCTTCTCCATGTTTGATCGATCCGGGGTCTGGCAAGTTGCTGTGGCCCTTATTCCTTTCGTGTCCCAACTACAACCCAGTCCAAGCGTATCACAACTGAATTCTGTGATGAGCTGCTTGGCGAAGGTGCAGCAATGGCAGCAGGCAGCACGCCTGCTGCAGCATTTTCACAGCCGCTCCATCGAAGCTACTACAGTCACCTACTGCCACTTGGTCGAAGCTTGTAAAAGCGACGCAGCTGCGGCTCTTCGGTGGTTCCAGGAGATGTTGAAGGTGAAGCTCGAGTTGGATGCCACTGCTTGCCTCGCGGTGCTGTCCATCAGTGCAAAACACAGCTGGGAAATCGGAGTCTTCGCGCTGCAGTCCTTGCGAGAGCAAGATGACCTGATTGCCCACAATGTGGCTGTGAGCACCTTGGGGAAACAATCTCGGTGGCAACTTGGGGCACACTGCGCAGAAAGGTTGTCAAGTCAGGGACTCCGGGCGAATGTCATCACATTCTCTTCCCTGTTTAGTAGTGTAGAGCCTGGCAGATGGCACGTGGCGTTGGGCATTTTGGGCGCCTTGCCATGTTGCTCTCTGCGTTCGAACGACTTTACCCGCAGCGCGGCCATTGCGTCATTAGGCCCGGGACGTCAGTGGCGGTCGATCACAGCCCTGCTTCTGGAGATGTCCAAAGAAGCCCTGGAGGTAAACCAGGCCCGGTCACTCTAGAAACCTGGATGTGGTAATTATGTGAGTCGCAGAGCCCTCGCCAGGTCTGTAGCGGCGCTGCCCTGCGGGGATTCGAGCGCCAGAGCCTCTGGCAGAGTTCGCTGTGGCTGCTCAGGATGGGATACCACCAATGTGCCACCCATAGCTTCAGGTGTAGGTCGTGGCATTCAAGTTCGGTAGCATGTGGAGCGAAACATGGCCTTGTTTTTTCAGCCGTCTGCTTTGGTTCATTCCACGAGGAACCATCGTGCCCGTGAGCTCGATCCAGTCAGCTGCAGTTCGACGATAAGTGCTTGTACAGAGGTGGCACTTTGGAGTCGGACGCTGGATCTACTATGGGGAAACCTCGCCTCAAGCAGCTGTGAGGTGGACTCGGTTTGCTACAATGCAGCAATGGCAGCGTGCAGTGGCAGATGGATTGAGGCTGTGTCTCTATTGAATTGCCGGAATTCGGGCCTTCAGTGCACGTCCATTAGCTTTAATACCAGCATTTCCTCATGCTCTGACTGTTTGCAGTGGTCTTGGGCACTTTTTCTTCTCGATGATCTGAGCAGGGCAAAGCTGCCACAGGACGTTTTGAGCCTGGAGGCCGTCGTAGATGCTTGCAGATCTCGGGAGCAGTTCTTTTTGATTCCGAGCCTATTGCGCCGCTTGAAACGGAGCCCGTGATAGCCCATATGATATGTGTGGGCCACTCTGTCTAAATTTTACATAAACGATTCTTCCACACACTTTCTCCGGTTTGCCACAGGACACTGACATACATTATGGACACGGGAGCCTATCAGCCCCAGCTAGAGCAGGCTCACGCTGTATTTTTTCTAAGGCTCCTGGCATCCGCCCTCAGAGCTGGACCCAGCACCCTGGCCAGACCGTAATCTTGACGAGTTTTTTTTCAAATTGCATTTAGCCGAGGCGATTTTCGATGACTTCCTTCCAGATGATCTTAACGAGGCGAGACAGCTCGCGACATCTGCTGCTTCTGCATACTTACCCTCGGTTCATTCATCACGGGACGCAGGTCGAAGGCGAGGGCGAAGAGCTTGAAGAGGAAGAGGTCTTCCCACCCCCTTCTGATGACACTTGGCAGCGAAAGCGCTCCGGAAATCAGCACGACATTCGATTGTCAGAAAAACAGACAATAGTTGCACTGTGAGGGACGATCGCAGGCCAGTGTTGTAGCTTCAACTATGTTGGAATATATCAATATATCGTGTTTGACCTACCCTGTGTCCCTGCACTGCATAACCAGGCTTCAAGCACGGAGGCTCTAAAAACCCTGAGCGACCTTGTGTCCCAAGACCGTGAAACAGGAGGAGATGGCCCTGCGCCACCTTGACCGGCTCAGCGCGGCCTCGGGGAAGGCACTTTTGGAGAGAGACAGACAGAGAGAGGCCGCGTGCGGCGTGCTTGTCTGTTGGATCCTGTGCCTGCATCGCGACGTGATCGTCAGCTCGTTGGATACAGGTCGTCTTGTGTCTTCTGGTGTGTTTTTTGGTTGCTAGCCAGGTGCGGCCACCGCCGCAGACTGGTCCGGGAAGGCCGGGTCTTGCAGCGCAGCGAGAGGCTCATGGAAAGGGAGAGAGCTGGACATGTTTGGCACAGATTGAAATTTCTGGCTCGGTCTCTGCCTTAGGGCAGCTCATGGCTCGTTTTGACAGGAGCTCCACGGCTTGGAAGCAGAGTGGGATTCTCTGACCCTTTTCCCGTCAGGCCTGTCCTCACATTGGCCAAGACCTACAAGCTGCCGGCTTCGGAGATTCATTGATGCAAGAGTGATCAGCTGCAGACCACGGGAAGTGCACGGAGTGTTCCGGGAGGTTCCTTAAGACATGCAGGCAACCTGTGTACCTGCAAGGATCCATTTCGAGAGCCGGAGCGAGGCTGACCTTACACTGCATTTCTCGAGTGGCGCCTTCTGCATTCGCACCTTTGGTCAAACTTGTGGTTTTGGTCTCATTCTCAGTAGCCCGCGATGAGTGGTTGCGATCAGTCGTACCATGCCGGTGTAGTCGTCTGGTTCTCCATCTCATGGAAGTCGCGTAGCACCGATTCAGAGAGGGAGGAGTAGCTTCCTCACGTGGAGCTGCAGGTAGTCTGGCAAATCCATGTTGGATCGCACTGCCTTGAGCTTGTCCGAAAGTTGCTGAGGCTTCTTCACAGACAGCAGTCGCGAAGTGTGGCGTCGGGGCTTGGCCTACACCCTGATTAGAGCGGAGAAAGGCCTGGGAGAGTGGTGTTGCACGCATGGGGCCATCTTAAATTGGGGTTAATGACGAACCGGGCTATGGAAAGCTTAGAACGACACTCAGTTCATGCTTGGCACATTGGTGTGGGCGCCCCATATTCTGGATGCTGTAGGGTGCTGTCCAGTCGAATCCACTTCTTATACCTGGACCTGGGTTCTTACAGTAGGCCAGGGCATTTCAGTTTTGCCCAGTTTGCTTTCCTAGCAATGACGGCTTCCAGTAGCTTGGGCCACCTGCCACTCCATGCTCGCTCCTTCGAGCCAGGATGGGAGCGGCAGCGCTGAGTCGGCCTGGGCCGCCGCAGCAGAGAGTGAGGCCAAAGTGCCTCCACAAGTCAACGAGCGGTGAGAGGCGCCGTCCGCCCTTCTTCCTGCTTCCGTCTCCTCTGCATGTTCTGAAACTGAAACCAGCTTCCTGTTTCTACTTGGATGGATCCTCGTGCCGCGAATGCCAGTGTAAGCTCTGGCAGATAATGTCGGGCATGGGAAGCCTCACTGACCATCGGCTGCCACTTCTGGGCCACCACAACCTGCACAGCATCTGCTGAGGAAAGCGATGAGGATGCCGGGTGAACGAAGCTTCTGATGCCGGTTCGCAAATATCGAAGGTGCTCGAAGCTGAAGCCATCTACAGGGCATGATACTGGAAGAACCCAGAAGGCAACACTACTAGCCATGGGTTCGAAACCCTGGAGTATTTGCGATGCAGGCCCTCCTTGGGAAGCGTTCAAAGTAACGCCGTCGAGCCGGCCTCCGAGGAGTCAAAGATTGGTGATGCGCTTGCAGGGCCGCAAACGGCACTGTATGGTTCGGAGCTCGTAGATTCGCAGTGGCTGAACCGATGAACCCCAACGCAGCCACAACCCGCGTGCCTTACAGTAACCAGAGGCATCACGAAGACTCGCAGCAGCCCGATTTGTGACCCTGAGCCTGGTCAACAGCCATGGCAGGTCCTGGGACTTCGAGTTCGACCATGTGTTCAGGCCACATCGGGAGTCATCGGATCTGCGCTTTGGGGCTGCCACTAGAGCATCTTAGTGTGTTGCCTTGAGCGGCTTCACGTCTGGGAGGCCTGCGGCTTCGCAAGGAGAGGTCTTTGAGGAGTTTGGGCCTCAGATTAAGGGCTTCCGGCGAAAGTTAGGGTTTTGGAAAACAGCTGTGTGGAGCTATGGTCAGCATGCAGATGTGCACAAACCAGCTCTTAGAAGATCATCTTAGTCTTGAGATCGCAGGATCTGAAGACAGAGTCCCACCTCATGAAATGCCACCTGCCACCTATTCACATGTCTGCTTGCATTCAAGGGTCGCGCTGCTCGTGCAATCGGCCCTTGACGGCTACCGGGTGGCGATCCTGGCATACGGGCCCGGCCCTCAGAAACCTTGTTGCACAGCAGCCCCTAATGCTGCGGCCGGTTGGTCACTACTTAGGGACTCCAAAAGCACATAAGCAGCATTTTGTCGGGATATCCCTACCTTGTTGGCCTTCCTTTTCAGGGTGCTTCCATGGGATATCCCTGTCCTCATTTTTGTTTATATGCTTTGTTGTGGCCCTAGACTGCGCATGCACCTACTTCTGGAGGTGGGTATGTTCGCACTCACGCACTTACGTCCGTCTGTCTGCGCACCTATACTGGCGTACAGAAGGTAGAGTCGTCACAGGCCCCAAGCGCGTGGTCTCTGAGCCTCCTTCCTGGACCTACTTGTCACCAGTGTGGCATTGTTGGTCGCGTTCGAACCGCTTGTCAAGGCAAACAGGAAGTGGCAAGACCTTCACAATGACCGGCTCCGGCACCGCCTCGGAGGAGGTGGAAGTTGGCCACCAAAGCGCTCGACTCGAAGCGTCATTGGACTTGGCAGGCGACCGAGAAGTCTGGAATGATTCCCCGCACCGTGGACTTGATCTTCAAGGACCCATATAGTGCTAAAATCTTTCCATCGTGGGGGAGAGTCTGTGCACTGGACTTGTCTATAAGCCTTCGCATTCAAGAGCAGCCAACGCATGGGCATCATTAAATACCAGGAAGTCGAGCAGCTGAAGAAGCATGGCTGGGAGTGCCTTGGCGTTGAGGTCGGAATCGGGCTGAAGTTTGGGCGGGTTCCCTACATGCGACTGAGGTTCGAAGTCTCAGCTGGAATGGCGGAGGCTGATGGAGGGAAGCTGGTATTCTGAGTGAGGTGCTGGACTTGTGATCTACAGGACGGAATCCGGACTTATGAAGTCTTGGTACTGTTTGGACTGCAGACGGGCATGCTTCCCTGAATTCCATCAGAAAGTGATTCCCCTCAGCCAAGCCAAAGATAGTCTCTCGAAGAAAATAGATTTGCCAGGTCTACAATGACAGCGTGCTGGACCTTACAGCGACTTCGCTGCAACTGCTTACGGCTCGAGTTTTCTGAGCACGGCAGGTTGGATGCAAAAAGTGGCGGCAGTGACTAGAGCTGCTGTATAAGACAGTGACATAGTGACATAGTCTTAGTCTTAGTGTCTTAGTGTTTCCAGTACAAGCAAGCCATTGATCACCGCTTCGTGTCATCTGTCATGCCTTATTAAGTCTTTGTTGGACTCAGGCGGCTGCCAGACCGAGCTCAGGCAAAGATGCGGCATGAAGCTGTGCTGACGAATGCTTGCTGGACAGATGCAAGCCTGGCCTCGCAATTTCAGGAAGCTTTTCGCGAGACTATACTGTAGGTCTCCAACTGCCACAGGTTGCTGCTTTTCGGACTGTCGGCCATCACGTCCAGCCCCCCTGACCGCAGAGACTGCCATACCCTTCAGCCTGTTTGGCAGCTTATCGCGCAGGGCCGCCGAGCCCCGGCGAAGGCGACCGCAGCTTCGACCAGCCCAGCTGCCGCAGGATCCCTGTGCGATGCTTGGATGAACATTACTAGTAGTATATTAATACTTCCAGGAGGCGTCCAGGCAGCATCGCGGTTCTTTCTTTGGCCACGGCCCGCTTTACATGGGAGGATTGAATCCGCATGGGCTTCGCTGTTGCCGAGCTTAAGCGTCAGCGGGGGCGAAGTTTCATAAGTGCACGCCTGGAACGGCTTGGGCATCATGGCGCCGACAACATGCGAGTCAGTTGCGTCTACACGCTGTTTTCAAGCACACGCTGTTTTCAAGCACGAATTATGATGTTTCACGGTAGAGGTTTTGCAGCAAACATCCGGTTGAAGCCAATGCAGGGTGTCATGTAAAACTCGTAGCGAAAAGGCAGGACAGGGGGTGTTGCCTGCACGGGGCATGGGGTGGCTTTCGACGGCAGTGCTCTGTCGAGTAGCTCTTTCTTCTGCGAGAGACAGCCCGAGCACAGCGAGTTGCTCTGCCTCCTTGGGCAGAGAGACAGAGCTGTGCCTCCGTGTCAAGCAGTCCGCAAAGGAAGTCCGAAATCGTCGTGGCCACGCAAGGGACGGCAAGCCTTCCAACCATACATCAAGTAAATCCGGTGTTCTCAGAGTGGTGTTGCCCGTCGTCCGCCGCAAGCGACAGGCTCAGGTGTCATATGTCCAGAGGTCGGTTCCAGCTTTGATTCGTGAGCTCGGCAACTTGGCCAACTGGACGGTCGATGTGCTGGTCTTCGGTGACAAGGACGAGGCCACCTCGATTGCACTCCGGTACTTGCAAGAATCCCCACTTCCTGCACGGTTTCGTGCTAGACGTAAGCACAGGCAACTTGAGGATCCGTCAAAGTTGAGGAAGCTGCACGGGGACTCACAGGAGAAGATTCTTTGGAGATCCCGTCTAGTGCTGGACTTCGTGTCGGCTGCCCGCGAGTCTTTGACTGCGTCTCAACCACACATTCTGTGGTTGGAGGATGATGTCGAGCTGCTTCCGGGCTTTGGCAGCCTTCTTCAGGATTGGCTTCATGTGCATGGGGAGAGGACGGATTGGTTGGTGCTGCGGCTTCTGGGATTTAAAAGGGATCCTGATGAAGCGACATGGGCTTGGGGGACTGCAGGGTGGGGTGGAGGGGGGACCCTGCTCTATAACGGCAAAAACCTGCTATCTCACCTGGATTTCCTGGAGCAGAACTTTGATGCTGCCCCCCTGGATTGGCTGCACCGTGCTATGCCGTCAAGGCCACTGGCGGAGTGGTGGCAGCCACAGCTCCAACCTGTACTGCTACGACATTTCGGCGAGCATTCCACGCACGAACAATTCTTGTAGCTCCTGCGGATCGGTTGGGGCATCCAGGAGAGAAGCCACCCCTCTGCTCTCAACTACGAAGATCAGCCGAAGACTGGAGTCAAACGACCGCCGTGCGACGTGGACGGCAGCAACTGCAGGAGCCCGCTTACTGCTGGCATGCTTGGAGCTGTGGCCTTCGAGTTTTGCACCTCGAACGCCATTCTGCTGCTCTGCAACGCGAGCGTGGAACCCGCGTGGAGCTAGATACTGGCGCTCTTTCATGGTTAGCCGCTGGAGTTGGCAGTCCATACTCTAGCCGAGAAGTCTAGCAGAGATGTTCGCCTGAGAAGCTGCTTGTTGGCAGCTGCTGTTTTGCATGTGCGCGGAAATGCCCACAGCAGCTTTTCCTCCAAGTCAAGGACTATGTTGCTCATGCAGCAAGCGTATCTCAAGTGTTCCAGAAGGTTTGCAGACGCAGTCAGCCCACTCGAACCAGAGCTTACTTTCAGCACCCGTATTCCTGGATCCTCGGCAATGCCACGTGGGCGGCCGGACGGCAAAGGCGGCCGTGGCAAAGGCCCCTAGCAGAGAGGGTTGGAAGTGGAGTCAAGATTGGAGGTCGCGAAATGTAGGGGGGGGGGGGTGAAGGTCTGAACATCATTCTGCATTGGTTTCAGTCGGCAGCCTGCTAGCAAGTGCCGACCGGTGACAGTTTGCATGGACTTGACGCGCCTGTAGTTTGCGACTCAGGCAAACCGGCACGGCAAAAGGGCGCTGCCGAAGCAAGGATGCGAAAGCTTGTCGCCAAATAGTTCTTCAACTTCACCATGAAGGCCCGAAGGACAAGGATTCCTGGTTGTGTGAGCTGGAAGGAGCGGGACCGGTTATCCTGATGCCGCGAGCGCCTCGGGCAGTCAGGAGCGATCGCCGCGAATCCCCTGTTGTGAGATCCGTGGCAGACAGCAAGCATCTAGGCACTCGACAAGCGAAAGCAGCCCGTTGGCATCCTTTGGCTCAGACACGTGTTCAGTCCATTGACTGTAGTGCATCTTCATATCCATCCTCATGGAGGAACAGTTGCGAATTGCTGCCCAAGGCAGCGAAGAAGCCACCCAGGAAGAGAAGCAGCCCTGGACGGCTCATAGAGTTGGGCTTACGGAGCGGCCTGCACTTCCAGGTGCCCTCGAAGCCTGGAGACTCGGCATCGCGAGAGTCTGAGGAGGAAGACGGAGCAGCAAGAGCTTTGACGACGCAGCAGATTGAAGACCATGTAACTTTACAGTCTGCAGGCGGAGATGTCGGGCGGAAGCTCCTGAGGCAGCTGAAGATGCTGCTCCTGAGGCTGAACCTCAGGGTCAGCATCTTCAGCTGCCTCAGGAACTTGATCAAGTTTAAGGCCCTGCCTACAGAAGTTCGAAAAGAGGTGCTGGAGCATCTCCACTTGCAGCATCTCCTGGAGGGTGATGCTGCGCCACAGGCAGCTCCGGAGGCTGCGCCCAGAACCTCACCTAAGAGGGCGCCGCCGGCCTCGCAGGAGGCTCCGCCTAGGCCCTCACAGAAGAAGATGCGACGGCCTGCTGCCGCCACTGGACACTGAGGCTCGGTGGATTCTCTCTTGCTGCTCGTGTTGCGCTCGCGCTTCCCCTCTCAGTCCTGAGGCATCTCAAATCGTCGCGGACCGCGACCCGTTCACGGGCACGGTCTTGTGACAATTCTGGCCACCTGCTTGCAAGCTGCTCATGTTCTGCTGCAAAACCTAGGCTAACTCCTCACTCTCCGCGTTCTCCTCACCCTCACTCTCCTCACTCCTCATTCTCCTCACTCTCATCACTCTTCAAACTCACCAGTCTCCTCACTCTCTTCGCTCTCCTCACTCTCCTCAGTCCTCAAACTCACCAGTCTCCTCAGCCTCCTCACTCTCCTCACTCCTCACCCTTCTCACTCTGTTCACTCCTCACCCTCCCGAGTCTCCTGACTCTCCTCAGTTGGTGCTAAGGTTTTGCAAGTGGACCACGACCCATTGACGTGCACGGTCTTCTGAAAGCTTTAGCCTTTTTCACTGCATGGCTTGCCGTATACAGGTGTGCAGGGGGGGTTAACTGAGTATATTCACATTCATGACTTGACTATGCTATAAACCTACATCAAGCCTTCTGTGCAGTGCGACCGACAAGTTTCACCCTTGGACAGCGCGAAGCGTCTTGCAGGATGCATCGGAAACTCTTGACGGCATGCAAAGCTTGCTCTTCACACAATTTCACACACATGCGTCGTCGAGTTTGACAGACTGACAGGAGTCGGAGGGAGAGGAGTCAGACGCGGGCTCCGAGGAGGTCGATGAGGCGAAGTGAAGGGCGAAGCGAGGGTGCTTGCCGTGTGGGCTACAGTATGCGCCTTGCAGGATGCCCCGAGGGCCAAGTTGATGCTCTTTGAGTTTGGCCAGGTGCCCAGAGCGTGTTTGGACATCAGAAGGAAGGAAGGCAGCAAGATGGTTTGTCACAGGACCCCCGCGCAAATCGACGAGGGTCAACTCTCAACACGGCAACGCGCCCCGAAGCCGAGGTCAGAATGACCCAAAGATGGACTCTGGAGTTCGCTTGTGCCGAAGCTTGCCCTGGGGCATTTTCTGACCTGGCCATCGGGGTTCAATTGGGGCTGCTTTGTCTGTTGACTTCGACGACCGTTGACGCCTGGCCGAGGATTCGGCTTGGCAAGACGCTTGAAACCCCAGGCGCGGGGCGAAACCTTCAAGCTGTAGGAGGAACGGGCACACTGCCTCGCCGCAGTCGTGGTGCTCTACCAGTAACGAGCCTTCAAAGTGTAGCTTGTGTTGGCTTGTGGGTCAGGCTGGCTTCCAAGGAGTCGTCCTCAGCACCATGACGAATGTGCCAGTCTCTGCAGAAGATCGGGCACTCATTGAGAGCCTGGGCAAAAGTGTCATTGGCAAGAAACTTCTGCGAGCCTCCGTGTTCTGTTCGCCTGTCGTAGCTGAAGTGCAGGCTAAAGGTGCGGAATGATGCTTCCATGCCCCGCCAGCTGAGGACCTCCGGCCTCGCAGGAGTCAACTGCAGCTGGAATCGCCTGGAGGCGCTTGGAGTAAGGCTTCCGTTCCCGTGAAATCTTCCGGGCAGGATCCGAATCTGCCATCAGGAGATTCCCTGGGCGAAGCTCCCTCGAAAGAGCCAGCACCGGCACCCGCCTCAGGACAATTCAGAACAGGTGCTCCGATGGTTGGGTCAGTTATGTGAATCGCGGAGGAGGGTGTGTGTTGGTGCACCAAGGATCCTGCCTTTTCTGGTTGCGGCCAACTCTGTGAACTATGGATTCTCGGCGTGTTCAGAACAGCCTTGCTTGTGGCTGATGTTTCCCGTAGGTTCGGATTCACGTCCGTCTGACTTGCCGGAGTCAAAAGTAATGAGCATTTAGAAATGGTTTCAGGATATTTCTTTTATGGAATTCAAGGTACCTGACCGTCCCGCAGTGACCAAAATCCTTTCCACATCTTTCCACCAAAAACGCTCCATTCCAGGCAGGCCTAACAAGCTGAACACCGCGGAAGCCATGGCAGCCGTCTTTTGGCCTGAGAGATCTAAGCAACAACGGTGACACAATGGTGACGGAGATGAGCAGATAGGTCATATATCGCTGGGGAAAGACGCGATCGGTCATCCTTCCGGGTCCAATCCCACGGCCCTCTTGTTGTTCCTTTGCTGTCTACCAGTGTCTGAACATACATACGCACTGAAAGCGCCATTCTACGGCGAGAGATGCAACAAAGGGTCCAACTTTCGGGAGCTGAAGATCAAGCGCCGCGTTGAGGCACTAATCATCGTGGGCCTCCACGCGCAGGCTAAGCGCTTGCTGCGTGCCTTCAGCTGGGGCGAGGAGCTCGCAGACATGGCGAATGAAGCGCGGCATTTGCACAATCACACGATTCGTCGTGCTTGAGGCGCGACTTCATAGCCCCATCCGACTTCCCTACTGGCTAGCGGCCATTTCAGGCAAGCCCGAAGAATCAGTTTGCGCAGGAATTTCTCAGACTCAACCAAGAGGCCTTCGAGACCTACAGCCAAGCGAAGGATGCAGCAGCCCTTCGAAGCTTGCCTCGCGTTTCATTGCAATGTGAACTTCTTTGAAGCAAGCGAGGCCAACAACTCCCAAATCAGCCGCGCCAGGTCGCGCAGAAGCTGCTTTGCTGGAGCGGTGGCGGAACGAGGCTGTGGCCGCTGGCCCCATGAAACGGTAGCAGGGGTGGAACGCCGGAGACCGATGAACCCGCAGATCTCCTGCGCAAGCTGACAGATTCCTGGCCCGACTTGACCAGTCCCCGAAGGCTGCTGAAAGGCGCGCGCAAGATCCGGACCTGCCTCCCTCCGACTCCGAGGATGCCGCGGCACGTACTTATGTTTATGTAATTTATGTATTTCTGTGTATAGGACCTACATGATGCCCCTTGCTGGAGGGATATATGGGAACAGATTCTCGGACAGCTTGGTCAAGAGATTTGAGTACGAGTGCAGTCTCTGTCGGCCTTTAAAGATCTTGTAAATCTGACGCCTCGGCCCTTCGGTCGCGGTTCATCGAGGTGCAGCACGGAAACCCAGACCCTAACCACCCTGCTAGTAGGCTGGTCCTAGAAAAGCACGAAGCGACTGGAAAGACAGAAGCACTCGACACATATCCTTCGCAGGCCAGCGAGGCCTCAGTCCAGGAGCTGGACGCCGCGGGCAACTCCCTGCCTGCGAGAGCAGCCGGCAAGGCAAGCAAACACAAGCAGCTCGCGGACTTTCGGCGAACTTTGCTCGCTCAATCGCTACTTCTGAAATGCGATCCGGGTTGTCGAATTGAGATGGGGCTTGGCTTTTCTCGGTTGAAGCCGACCACATCTTGCACAGCGTTTCGATTTTTCGCGTAGTTTTGCTGAGCTTAGCAACTCGAGGCGAGACTGCGAGACTCTTGTTGCCCAGAGTCACGCCAGGCTACAAGTAGCCGGCCTGAGCCTGAACGCGGAAGCGGAAGAAGACCGGCAGAAACCTCAAGCCTGGGCCAGGCCTGGCAAACCGAACCCAGCTGGCTTCAAGAGTCCGCCCCGGCACCCTTCATGACAGCCGAAAGCGAACCATATCAGTGGTTAAAATCCTTTCTGGTGTCAGGATTGGGTCAGCTTGCCTGAATATCTGAATATCATCGTATGCAATATGCTATATGTATGCTTTCTTAGATTATGTGCCGTGCGAATTCTCGTAGGTTCTCTAAGCTGAAGTTGATCTCGCAGAGGCATCAGAGGCGGAATGCTCTGCCCCTGGTTCTGCCATGTCTGTGCCTGTTCCTGACAGCGACGCTGACAAGGCATGCCTCCGAGAGTCCGTTGAGAAGTGCGCTGCGGAAGACTTGCAGTAGACCTTGACCTTAGCCCTGGGGGCATTGATGGCGGTTCGTTTCCAGCAAATCCACCCTCACCGACTCGCATGAATTAGTTTAAACAGGGCCTAAACATCTTATGATAAATCATATCACACATCTGGAATGCCACGGTCTTCAATTGCAATAGGACTGTTGCTGACAGCGTTGCCGCTTCTCCACTGTGAGCAGAAGGTGCCTGGGACTCACTGCGAGGATCCGGAGGAGGTGACAAAGACGGCCAGCGAGGCCCCGCCGAACAGCTTTCTCAGACAGCGAGTAAGACTCACGGCCAGCGAGGCTTTCAGCTGAACTCGGCAGAGCCAACTCCCAGTCCTCTGACTGTGAAGTGTGTCAGGCTGCATCATCTCCTGGGACAAAAGTCGTTCCGCTGCACTTGACAGCTTCAGGTGAGTTCAGGCGTGTGAACATGCAGTGCAGGTTCCATGTACTGATTCTTCACCCTTTTTTGTTGCGTTTGGTCGCGCTTGCGTGCCAGTGTCGGCACATCCAAGCATTGACAACTCTGCTGAGCTGAGTGCTGGTACTCGGAAGATGGAAACGCTTGGAAACAAGACATGCTTAGGATGCGTCCGGAGCAGCGCCAGCAGCGACTTCCACAAGAGGCTTGTGCATGTGGGTGGCTTCACGAGTAGATCAGAGTGCCGGGCATCCAGAACCTTAGTTTTTCAGTCGAGCCATGTTCTGGTGGTGCATTCTCCTTGACAAAAGCTTCCAATCTTGACAGGTCCCGTGCCGTTTGAGAGGAGCCCTGCTCCGCCAAAGGCCAGGAGAGAGCCGACAGGAACTCGAATCGAATCCGTGAAATCCCGTTGAGAGCTGCTGCCTTCGTGTATGCCTTGGCCTTGACTTCGCCTTGCTACGCTGCAGGCTGCTGGTGCCCAGGTTTCCGAGAAGCGGCTGCCAGCGGATGCGGCCAGCCCAGCGGACCAGAAGGCCACAGTCGTGAGACTGGTTCTCACCTGGTTCTCCTTCTCCCTTTCCAGCTTCTAAGACTCTGATGGCTGCAGGCAACGCTTCAAGCTTTGCAGTCTCTGGCCTCGGCCTCTTTTCTCCAGGACACCGGCTTGGTGCCCGACTCAGGGACTCCGCTGAGGACGACGTTAGCCTGAAATTGCTTCGATCCACAGGGACATGTGCCTCGCATGTCGGAGTTGGTTCTGACAGGCGAGAAGAAGTTAACTACTAAGTCCGTCGATTCAAGGAACATGTATGTGGAGTGAGCGCTTTCTTGCACAACTCCTGATCTCAAATACACTGAAGGCCGGCTTGAGTGGGATCCTTGTCCGCATTAACCGCTACCAAGATCTTCACAGCTCGTGGGCCGGAAGTCTCGTGTGTGGATGAACTGTCAAAGCCATCTCTAAGGAACAAACTGCAGAAGCTGAAGCGCAGTGAGTACGAGGCAGCGTGGGCCTGCTGGACGTTTGCTTTCAACAGGAACAGCCATGTAGATGTACCGTGATGTACTTCAGTACCTGCATATGATGAAAAAAGAATAATGACTAGGTGATAGCGGAAGAGCTGGAGGATTTGCTTGTGAATAGGCTCGACTTTTGGGTGTGCAGGGTGCCGTGATGCGGAGTTTACAGTTGACTGCAGTCTGTGGCTCCCTTATTTATTGGGCGTTACGGCCCGTCTCGACAGGCTATCTGGAGAAGATTCTGCACGGACCAGGCGAGGAAGCAGAACAGAGGATGGTGCACTTTGATTCAGTAGCCTCTGCACTCCGAGGGAAAATCAAAGGTTATGCTGCATTATGCTTGTCGTTTTCGGTACAGTGGTCGACGTTTGTAGCACAGACCGAGAGGCGCAGCTGCTGAGCGATGAGGACATTCATCGGCTGATGTCTGGCGCAGGTCCATGCATGCAGTGGATGCAATTTTGCCGATTTTTGGGCCTCACGACCAGCATGTGTTGTGGTTCTTCGAGGTGGAAAGGGGGCACCTTCCAAAGCGAGCGTCAAGAAGTGAGCGGCATTCATGTCATGATCTGAATGCCAAGTGGCCTAAGTTGCACGTCCACGTGGTGTCTCACTCTCTCACTCATCCTTGAGCTTGACGAAGTCCCGCCAAATGCCGACGACTGGTGCATCACTTCCGTGATACGAGCTGACATATTCTGACCATGGGGACATTTTTTCAAGCCGGCACACGAGAAGTGCCAGACAACATGCAGATGTCTATAGGCCCATCATGGAGTCGTAGTCCACGCTGTGCATCATCAACTAACTTCGTTTTCGCACGTTCTGGTTCGGGGAGCGAACACCCCAGCAGATACAGCCAAGGAGATGCTGCGGCAGTGTACAGCTTACTACGGCGAGCTGGGCGAGAGCGGCATGCCCCGGGGTTGCAAGAGCATCAAGGGTCCGATGTCCAAACACCAGTGCTTGAAAGCCTTGCGTGGGGGCTGCGCCTGCGGTATGCCGAGACGCCACACGCAGCACATCTGTAGCTAATGAGGTGGCTGCAACAGCCGCCAACGAGCGGTCCAGCCGCTCTCATGCTGCGTCTCGGCATACGGGTCACAAGACTTAGTTCAGACTGTGGAGGAGCGGATCTGTTCGCCTTCGAGTTTTTCCGCTGAGGGACGAGTTCACGGGTGCGGAAGGGAGCATGACCGAAGCACGCTGCATAGATTTGAGGCTGTTGAGTGTTGGGGTCCTGAGGTTGTTCAGCTGGCCTTGGCCGGACGATGCACTGTGCCAGGCAAACTCCGCGAGTTTTGTTGGGCATGTGCTGTTGTGCTCCCACCATATTCCCAAGTGTAGTGCAGCAGACAGGCCAGCAGCGGGAAGTGCCCGCGACCTGGAACTTTGTGGTCCTAGTGGCTTGCTGTAGTTTTTCTGTGAGCCCGGCAAGCTTATGCCGTCTTTTGCCCCAGCAGAGCAATGAATGCTGAAATGCCCGAGGCGTAAACCCTACGACTGAGTGACAAAGTCGTACGACGAAACGTAGACAGGAACTGAGAGTTGCTGTTCCGGAACCGCTGCGTGTACCTTAAGTGCCCGAGGCCTGAAAGGTCACTGAAAGGTTCGGTTGGTGATTGTCGGCGGTCCAGGCCGTGAAGTGGTTTGTTGACGGTGTGGTCAAGCTTTGTGTTGCTGCAGTCAGTAAAGTTGTGTGAATCGACTGCGAAGGCGTGGTCATGATGCAAATCGTTAGAGTCGCCAGCGAGGTCAGGATTGCTGTCCTTCGTCGACCTGGCCGGATCCGAGCGCCCCTGCCCCAGATGTGCCGGAGTCTCTGCCGTCACAGAAAGGAGGAAAGGAATGCGCACGAAGGTATTTGCATGCAAGTGCAGATTCGGTTTGACGACTGGTACTCATGCCACTGTCCTGCCTATGTCATAGTCGAGCAGAATGAGCAGAGATGAACAAAAGGCCGAGAATAGTGTGGGGCCTTCTTCAACTCGTTGGACTTGTCAGAGCTGAGGCCTGGAGCGGTCTGGGGCTGTCGGAGATCGGTTGAAAGAAGCACAGCACATCAACAGGCCTGAAGGGCGGTGTGTTCAACTGTTCTACTCAACACTGCGCGGGTTTCAGTGAGACTCAACCGGCAAAATTACGATTCGCGACGTGATAGCTGATAGCGGGACTTGGCAGGCGGCTTGCCGAAGTTGAGGCCCTAGCTGACCTTTTTGGCATGGTCGTGTTTTAGATTGTGTACAGAATACAGTTCTACGGCCAGAGTAACTGACCCATTAAACGGCTTTTCGCAAGACGGCGCGAGATGTCGGCAAGGCCCGGTCGGGTGGATACGACACGGGAATTCAAACTCTGCATCGATTTTGGCTCAAGCCTGTCTCCCAGCTCCCGTCTAGCTCGACTAAGCTCCTCTTCCAGCCATGCGTGGTGTGTTCAATCTCCTGCTCTTTGTTTCGGGTGTGAGTGCGGTGCGGCCTGGCGCCAACGTCGATGAGACTTTTGGGACCTGCTGCTGCTTCTTTCCGGCCACCAACCGCTTCCGCGCGTTCAAGCCGGCCCAAGGACAGCAATGCCCCAAGCGGAAGGAGGGTTCCACGGAAAAGCTGCCCCGCGGCTGTGCCAGAGAAGGGGGTGATGTCCATACTCCGTGCCAGACGAAGGATTACAACGAGGAGGGAGTCCCGGATCCCAATGACATGTACTGTGAGAACTACCTCATGGCCACGTGTGGCGATCATACGATCAGCATTCCAAAAGAGTGGACCAACTGTTACGAGAAGACCAGCAAATACGGCTACAACCAGGTGGAGTCTTCGTGCCCACAGTGCAAGAGACCCTATTATTCACGTGGCAAATGCTGAGCGGAGCGGCGGAGCCTGTACTCGCGCCATGTGAATCATTGCAGCGGTTCACGGAAAAATCCTCGCCTGAGCTTCGAGCGCGACAGCGCGGTGTGCTCAACTCTGCATCCTCCACAAGAAGTCCCGTAGTTGACATAGCAGGAACACAGAATCTAAGTTTCGGTGAGCAGGTCGCTCTGTGCGCTCGGCGACGTGATTGAGGCTGGCCTGGTGTCTTGCCATTTCAGCATGTGGTGGAGCACAAGCTTCTAACTGCGCTTCGTTCAGCAGCCCCAAGAAGAAGCACGGTAGTGGTAGTTGTGGAGCAATACTACTCAAAATATTCACTATGGCAAGAAGAAGCAAACACAATATGAGGGTGACACTGGCGACGCGAATTGTAAAAGCCGCCACGACAGTAACGGTAGTGTCGGAAATGATGGCAGCAGCTGCTGCAGCAACTGTAGCAGCAACAACAGAGGAGTAGATCAGCGCGCTTTGACGTGGAAGTAAATTTAACTAGTTGGGGTCATCCAGCTTTTCGGTGTCAACAGCATCGTTATTGTCGCCCTCTGCCCCATGCTGCGATCGTAACCTTCGGCTCTGCAGGCCATCTGCCGCAAGGGTGCCCTTAAAGGTCCAGCTGCCGCTGCCGTGCACGTGCCGCCCGGCGCCGGGACTGCTTGACGAGCTTTTGCTGATATTCGGTGCACGAAGTTTGGATGAAGGCAGAGCGTTCTGCTCGCTCACCTTGAAAACGCAACTTGCGCAGCTGAAGCCAAATTTGAACTGATGCATGCAGCTTCAGCATGTCAGAGATCATAAAGACCAGCCAAACAGGGCGCTAGTGTTGGGTCACAAACGTTCTTGTCACAAAGTTGCGCTGCCGGTTTGATTTTGTGAGTATGCTTGATCACACTTTCACGGCTACTCCGATCTAGTTCAAGGGTCAAGGTCAGCGGCCTTTGCTGCCGAGAGCCATGTTGCAGCATGCGCGGGCGCCGGACGCCATGCCGGAGAGGTACATGCTCGGACCGCAGACTGCTTATGCTAGGGACCAGGTGCAGGCGACGCCCTGGATGCAGCAGCAGCAGCAGCAGCAGTTCCAAACTCAACAGGCTCGGCAGCACCAGCTGCCACAGCCGTCTCAACCACGGCAGGCGATGCCAATACCACCTCAGGTGCCTCCAGCGTTTCCGCAAGCTTGGCAGCCGCAACAGCGACAGCCGGTGCAAGGATATCAAGCGCAGCAGCTACATCCATATGCATGCCAAGCCCAGCAGCCCCAAGCGCAGGTGAGGGATGAGTACTATGCTCGACCTGGCCAAGCACCCATCAGATTGCCAGCGCTCGACCCTGACCCCGACCCGGCCTATTTGCGCGAGTTTGCTCTAAAGGCCGCCATGATGGACGGAGCCATGACGGGTTTTGGCACAACAGGCGCAGGGTCATCTCCCTCGTGCTCTCCCTATGCATCTCCTTCACACCACGAAGGCGAGGACACGACCATGGACCCGCAGCGTGAACAGTCAAGAGTTTTTGTTTAAGTTTATCGACTTCGTTCCAGCTGTCAGATAAGCGCACCAAGTCTCCCGTAGACTCTCCGGATCCATACGGTCACATACTTGTGGCCGACATTGGCCAAGGACGAGCGACAGCTTGCCTTGGCCATTCAGAATCCCAGGCCGCGCTCAGTTTTGCCAATCTATAGTAATCTCGTAGTGGCGAAGGCTTCTCGTGATGCGCGCTGCGCTGATAAGCTCAGGCTTGCTGTCGATCAGGGCCCTCTTGGGCATGCAGAGATGTATAATTAATCCACCAGACGATTTCCTGTCAGGATCACCGAGCACTTGGCGGCCGGCCTCTTCCGTCGTATGGACAAGAGCTGTCCATGGCCCAGGTAGGTGTGGCATAGAAATCAACGAGGGGCCAAGGGGCGCGACGTCAGACGTCAGAGCATCTTTCCGCATCTCCCCCTGCCAGGGTAGCTCCACGCACGCACTGCTCAGATCCCGGCAGTGTTTGGAAAGCAAGCTTCTGGAAAGACCTCTAAGGCGATGGGCGACTCAGCTATCATGAACTGCTGAGATTCCTTCCTATCCTCTACCAGGACTCGGGCTGGACTGCGGAGGTTTCACAAAGTCGATGTAATTTCGAGCGCACCGGTAAGACAAAGAACATGACGATGCTTGCTAGAATCGGTGCCGTCACCAACCGCAGGAGCTGGGCTTGTCCTTAGTAAAAGACACAGCGACGCATCAAAAGCTGGTACCTGGGCAGATCTTCCTTTTGAGCTGTTGTTTGTCCTCGCTGTTGTAGGCTTTGCATATCTCTGAGTCTTCGGAATTATCGGAAGGGTAGTGCTACGAGGCAGAAAGGCATTTGCCGTTCTGATGTCAAACCTGAGGCTGTGCAGTGTGGGCTGATCAGGGGTTTGGATTTTATTGCCGTTTTCGAGCTGAATTAGCTGAATTGCTGGGTTTCGCTTCAAGTTGTGCAAATGTAGTTTTCTGCTGCACGGGGTGTTCCTGTTTCTCGGGGCTGGGAGAGGGGGCTTCTTTCTCAATGTGGGTTGTGTAACGAGATTGTGGTTTGAAGAAGGAGGAGGACATGCGGTGAACATGTTCTGAACCGCCCTGCATGGCTGGGCATTATCCCCGCAGATGCAGGACCGGAAACGAAGCCGCTGCGTGACCGTACGTAAAATCAAGTCTCGGGTAGCAAGCGGAAGGACCCACCCCTTACTGTATCCTACCTGTAACATTCCAAGGACCGGAGTTGGAAGGTTGAAACTGATACCTCCGCCCTGAACTCAAGCTCAAACAACCTGACCGGGTTCGGTGTCAGCTTCTCTGGCTGGACTCTGCATCAGCATAGGTGCGCAATCGTATGCGAAAGTTCGATCACGACGGCGACGGATGCCTGGACCAAGCAGAGTTCCTGCAGCTGTACAGGCCTGCTGAGACAGAGAAAGAGACGACTTGAGGCTGAGGGGAAGTCTTTGCAATGCCTCAATAAGTTAGGCGGCTAAAGCCTTAGCTTAAGGCTTCCTATCCCTTTAATATCCTTGAATGTCCCTTGTTGCAGGTGGACCTTGCATCGCAAGTACGAGGAGCCATGGCAAGAGTTAGCTTCGGCTTCACGCATGAATGCTTTGATTACAGTTTGCCACCTGACACTCAATCTTCAGACAGAGGCGTTGAGACTTTTGGGGGAAGAACTGCTCTAGGTGAGCTTAGCATCAAGAAACGGTTTTCTGATATCTTAGGCTTAGATATCTTGCTTTCTACTTCTGTCTTTGCCACACCGGATAGCAGCAGCCCAGGACTTGAAGCCTCCAAAGTTCGCACGCAGTGGCTTGCTGCGTGGTGCAAAGCCTGGAGCCCCTCGGAGGCTTCAGTCGTAGTCGAAAGTCGGGGGAGGCATCTCATTTGACTTCGTGTCCTCGACAAACATTTCTTAGGTCCCTGCGCAGTTCTACCACTTCGGCGCCATGCTAGGCTCGCCGGCATTGCTGCTGCTGCTGTCTGTGCAAGATAGAGATATACAATGTCCATAGTCATAGTCCCGAGCCAAACTCCTGAGCTGGTTGGATCGCTCCTATGATCTGTGCTAGGCCAGGGCAGCTTCGGCATTGTGCACAGATGCTTGGATGTCGAATGAGATGGACGCCCACCTGCCAGTGCTATAGGAGTAGAAGGCAGCGGATGTTATGTCGCGGCGCTGTGTCGAGTCTAGCCGATGCCCAAGGTGTGACTCAGAAGGCAACTGGCATCAAGAGAGCAAGAAGCTTACTCAACAATCTGTGCGCAAGCATCTCTCGTTCGCCGGTGAGTCTTGTCCAGCTTGCATGGAAAGGTCATGAAGACTGTAAACAAGATGAAGCTGCAAGAGAGCAACACCCCAGTGGCTTGCCTGGATCAAGAGATCCAGCTCCTCGCCATGCTGGATCACCCCCGAATCCTCCGACTCTACGCTACTCGGTGGCATAGCCGGGCCAGCTGCTAGGAGGTGGCTGGAGCCGAGAATGCAGCGTGGCGACACTTGTGTAAAGAGAAGGTCAGCTTCTCCGCTTGGAAATGCTCCGAGGAGTGGTATGCAGACTCCGAGAACGTCTATATCATCACCGATGTCTGTGAGGGAGGGGAGCTTTTCGACCTGGTCAAGGCAAGTTGCAAGCTTCGGCGGGCATTGTGGAGTCTGCACAAATTAGCCTTGCCGTGTTGAAGGCTCCTCGGAGCTGTGACACCAACTCACATCCCCGCGCAGGCCAGCATCGATCAGAAGCAGCCCATCCCCGAGGCACGGCCGGGTTCAAGCTCAAGGCTGAAAAAGTAGTTCTTCTCTGACTTTGGAGAGCGGGTTTGCACCGGCAGCCTGTCTGGCAATGTGGTTCCCCTTGTTGCAATGTCGCGATTTTCCCCTGCCGTGGCAGGCATGGGTACGCCGAATATTCCTTCAGGCAACATGCAAGTCAGATGCATGTTTTCATGTTTGCCTTGGTGGGTCTTGTGGACTTGGACAGCATGCTACCTACTCACATCTGGCTGTTCATGCCAGGCAACGGAGGCCATATCCTACTGCCATGAGAAGGGCGTGATGCACAAGGAGCATTTGCTGAAAGCAAGCTGCTTTTCATGCCGCGAGCTCGCCCCCGCCGAAACTGCTGATGCTTTCGGCAGGATCTGAAGTTCGAGAACCTTCTCTTGCAGCAGCTTGCCTGCTCCAAGTCGATGTGTCTGCCTGCATTAGCTGAGCAAACTTCAAGAAGTTTAGTGGGGAGAGACAGAGAGTGCCCAGGAAAAGCGTCTCCAGCACATCCCGCTCCTTGGCCAGTTGCTGGTCCAAGAGACTTCTGCAAGTTGTGGTGGCCGGCACTCGAAAGCGGAAAAGCCTGCAAGGACTCGAGGACGTAAATATTGTGGTCATCGATGTGGGCCTTGCCGAGCCCCTTGGCAGATCCAAGCAGACATGCCCATGCTGCGTATGCTCTGCTACCAGTAGCGCTCGCACTAAGTTGC